GTCATTTTATTGTACAAAATTTATTTCATGTAAAAATCATGTATTTTATAGCAAGATTTTTAGGAACTTTTATAACTCCAAACAACTTGGAATTGTGTTTGATAAGTTTAATGCATAAAAGTATACGATGAAATATCCTTAAGATATATTTCTTTGAGTGGTTGCGCAGATTTCTTCTGTAACAGTCTTGGTACTACAGTCGAAAGTCGTTAATCCGGACTCGTCGGGACTTCGGCGATTCCGGATTATCGATTTTTCCGGATTATATATCATCAGTTTAAATCTCGTAAGATGGCATGCAGAAATTCTAAAATAAAAAATATGAAACCATAATTTATGAAATAAAGAACAATTATGATCTAAAGGGTATCAAAATTTACAAAAAAAAAAAAAAAAAAAAAAGCTTAATATTTATTTGTTTACTTTATTAAACATTTCTTTCAATGTAAGTTGTTTAAGTTGCTTCGTTTTTTGTGATAATAATTTCTCTTTAATTCTATAAACAGACATAATTTCTTGTTCAGTTACAAAGTTCCGCTGTTCAAGTCCCGTTAATTGCTGTGCCGAGAACACCGACTAACTTGTCAGTCGAAATTTTTTCGTTTACACTAACCTCTCTGTCACATTCTTCATGTCTTTATCCATTTTTTGCAGCAATTCCACTTTTTGTTTGATGAACGTCGAAACATACTTTCGTTTTGTAGATCCTTTGGGAGCTCCAGAATCAGAAATTCTATTTGACATAATCGAAAGTTCAAGTTTACTTTTATAGTATTGCTCTTACAGTCTGCAAAAAATAATAAGTCGGATCCATTTCGAAAATTAAGGAACAACGCAATCATCAACATTAACTGAAATAGATAATTAGATAATTTTAGCTTATACCGTCCCTTATACATAAAACGCGCACGCGAAAACGTATTCTGCACTTGCGCACACGCATATGCGCAGACGTAAAAGGTCTTACGCGCACGCGTAAACTCATGCGCATTTGTCAACGCGGCGCATGCGCAGAAAGGTTTTAGCTTTGAGGTCCGGATTATAGATCATTCCGGATTATGGGTGTCCGAATTAACGACTTTTGACTGTATTACTAACACAAGGAGTATTTTCACCAAGATATCTGTCATGAAAAAGAGTTGCTAAGAGCATGAGAATATAAGAAATGTTCTGAGTACTGGTAGACACTGAAATGTGATATTACAGATACCAAATGTAGAAAATTGACAAATGCAACATATTATTAAGGTTGAAAAGTTTCATATATGTATGTAAATTTAAATATTACTTTGAAAATTAACTGAGCTTTACTTCCTCATTTCTAGAAAAAACTGTCAGTAGTGGAGAAAAGTTATTTACATATTTGAATTGAGCATGAAAGATTCTATTCGGATCAAGTATTTTCTCTCATCTGCCCTCCTTCTAAGGGAAAAGAAAAAAGGAGGGGGTGGAATTTAGTTTCCAGTGTTGTTAGTATTTAATAACGTTTTAAAAATACTTGTTAAGCCACTACTTATAGTTCTCTACAGTTAACAAAGTGGGTGGGACCAACAAAAAGTGTGCAAGTTGTAAATCTAACTTTATTATAAATACATACAGATATTAGTTAAAGAGGGTAAATGGCTAAAAAATGTTTGTTTAGAAGAAAAGTATCTAATAAAGGCTTATAGAATTATGAAAAGCATGCAAGGGCTATCTGCCTAAGGGGAGTGATGCCTTTGTGGAGGACTTTCGAAGAGAAACTGGCTCGTATACATGTTACACGGGGGGGGAACTATGAAAAACGCCCATGCAGCCAGCCCATTCATCTGGACTTGAACCTAGGTTGAAACTACCAGTGTTCAGCGATTTTTACCACTTGGCCGCTGGTGGGCCAGTATTTAATAAAGAATTTAGTGTTCTTACATATCAAAGCAATATAATATTAGAATAAATGTGCTGCTAAAAGTTATTTTGATGCTAATGTCCTCATAAAATTTTTGCAAACTTGGTCTGACAACTCCATGACCCTTTTTATCACTTAACACATTAAAGGCGGGAGTTGTAGTACTACGATTTATCTTGACTGTAGCTTAAAGGCGGGAGTCGTAGCACTACAATTTATCTCGACTATAGCTTAAAGGTGGGAGTCGTAGTACTGCGATTTATCTTGACTGTAGCTTAAAGGTGAGAGTCAGTAATATGATTTATCTCGACTATAGCTTGTGCGACTGTAGTTTGCGCATTTATCTCGACTGTAGCTAGTGCATGGATTGCACAATCCATGCACCACTTAACATTTTTATTTCGTATGTTTTGTGGTTTGAAGCTGTTGGGTTGTTCAAATTCTACTTACAGTGAATTTTGAAATCCTTCAATATGATTCCATGTGAAAATAAAGATATATATGCAGACGATTTGATGGACATTGAAGAGCCAAAACCTGGTAGTTCGAACTCGGCACCAGACTCCACGATATAAAATTGATTCGCCTGGACGTCTTTCGTTAGACATAAAAAAACACAAATTAATTTGGATAGAAAATAAAGGCAAAACGCTATATGCTGAACGAAACTGTGTAGTTTGTGTGGCACATAAAAAAAGAAAGTTGACTTGCTTCAAATGCGAGTTTTGCAATGCACCTCTTCACCATGGCAAGTGTTATCAACATTATCACACTCATAAAAAATACTAGATTTTTCTCATAAATATGCACTTTAAAACATTTTTTGTAATTAGTGTTTAGTTCTTTTTTAATATTTCTTGTAGTTTTAACAGTTTAAATAAACTTTTTTAAAGTCTAAATTTTTTTATGATTACACAAAATATCGCCCGCTCTAGGACGAAAAACGAGGCGAAGTGGTTGCCACGTTACCTAGCATACTTTCATCAAGATTCCCCGCCTTTAATATGTTAACATTTTTTATAGCAAACTAAAAATTCATTATATTTCTTGCCTTATAGCTAGAATGGGGTTTATGCTTAAAATTTGTAAGCCTTTTCTTAACTGAGCCAAGACCTTCTGTCATACATTTTTCTGTTGCGTTTGGGTCTTGAAGTATTGGTTTCTTCAGTAGTTATTCACATATTTTTATGTTTCTCTGTCAGCTTTTGTCTATCTTTATGCCTCTGTTTGTTAGCTATTTGCTGTATGAATTTGCATCTCATTGACATCACCAATGTCAACTTCGAAATCTAATTGCATACCAAGAATGATAATGCCTTTTATTACATGAGTGACTTGATCAGTTTCTTGCATTATTTTCATCTCACCTTTGAAAAAGAGTGGATGGATTTTCTTCCAGACACTGTTCAAGGTTTTATGGCAAATTTTATTCCAGAATTCTCCAAGATTCGTACAGCATTTAAAACACAGACTTGTGTCCAAAAGTCTAATTGGACAACTGATTGTCTTGTCTGATAAAGTTATTCAGATATGAAATGACCATCATATGTAATAAACCTTCAAAATGTTTTGATGATTGCTTGGTCCACTGTTGAAGCAAGCTGGTTTTGTGTGGAGGAAGGGGGGAACTTTCATACATGTGTCAAAATTAATTAAAATGGCAGGATGACTGGGGTGCATTACTAATAAGTAGCATCCATGTAAATGGAATTTGCTTAGACTGGCAATAACATTCAACTCCAGGTATGAAGTGATGACTGAACCAATTTGTAAAAACAGAAGCTGACACCTGAGCTACCAAGAACCCTATAAAATGGGCCAAAATGGTGTATAGAGAATTACTTGTACCATTGTTTAATAAATTAAATGGAATTGCTTAATTATTGATAATCTTTATTTCCGGTTTTTTTTTTTTTTTATTGTTTTCTTCATGTTTAAAAATGAATAAATAGGAGCTATATTCTGTTATGCATTCCTAATGGATAAAATGATGTCTTGTAGTGTAGTCTTTTTACATTTTGATGCCCTTGAATGCTTTGTAATTAATAAGTTGCTGACTTTTCTTAGCATTATAACTTTGAAAAATTTTCTGGATTGCCATTCATATATTTTGAAATTAACTGTTCACTTTTTAGTTTTAAATTCCCTTTATTGAATAATATATATATATTTTTTCTTTTCCTTTAGGCATCTTTTACCTTGTATTTATTCAGACTTTAAAGGAGATAAAAAAATTCATTATTTCTCTGTAATAATAGGTATTTCATAACTGGCAATGCAGGTATATAGGCAAACTATTCAGGTATCTGAGAATTGCCATTAGGACAGAGCACTTGACAGTTCTAGTACTTGAGAGGCATATTTGGAATGTAGATGATTGAAAAAATTGCTGTTAAAGTTTTATGCAGTTTTTAAAGTATGCATTAAATTTAGAGAAGTTTGAAAAATAAGTTCTGTTTTATGAATAATATTTGGTAGATTAAAATTATGAAAACTGTTACGTACTAAGAAGATACATACTGCTTTATGAAATGAGTTATTTTTTGAGATGTGTGAGAACTAAATACAATTTTATGCTCAGAGTATTCAAAAAGGTCATAAAAATGGGTGAATAATATTTTTATGAGAGAAACTATATGTTACATTGAAATTCCCCTTTAGTTCTGTAAAACTGGTATGAATGATATATTGCATCTTGAGCTAAGATGAATGAGAGAAACCATTTTGTAGAACAGTTAAAATTAAAAATATAATGCTTTTTACCTTTTCCCCCATTTTTCTTTTTCATAACTTTTCTAAAACTATAATGCATGTGTACATGAGTTATATTTGGAGACAAATAGCCTTTAGTGTTATATTTGACAATAAAATGGAGTTATTTGTCAGAAGCAGTAATAATAAAACACAGTTTTTGGATTTTTAATCTGTGTTTAATGTTTTTGATAGGAATCTTTTATTGCTAAAAAATGGTATTTAAATTTCTTATCCAGTTTTATAAGATGAGCATAGAGTGTGATATTATTTATTTAATGTTTTTCTTTATAGTGTATAGTAATAGTTATTAAAAAATTATTTTGCTGTTTCTCTCTCTATATATAATTTTCTTTTTGACTAGGAATGGAGGAAGGAGGGTCTTCATTTGTCATCTGCTAGTGATCAAGCATGTAAATTATATGATGCAGCTTTATCTCAGGTAGAAATGGATACTTATTTTAATAAATTGACTGAAAGCTGCCAGAAGTAACTGATTATAAGTTTTAAAATATTCATTTCTTAAAATTTAATATAGCAGTAATTTATTTATAAGTGCTAATTTATTTATAAGTTTTATCTGGGTATGGTTCACATGTATGAAATTCTATTAATTCTTGGCAGGAGTTCTCCTAATTAAAAAAATATATGTATGGCCAGTGGAGAAAAATTCATAAATAAGGATAATTGTTATCACCTGCAAACACACACACACACACACATATATATATATATGTACACACACACACACACACATATATATATATGTACACACACACACACATATATAAAAAAAGGTCTTTGTAAGCAAATGGAAAATTGGACTGTGCACGTGTTAGTGCATGAAATATGCAAATTAGATGACTGAGAACAAGTTGCACTATGAATGTATGTTGAATTCGTGTGTGAAGTGTTATTTAAAGGTAATGAGATTTTTTTAGACTGCTAAGTATTCATTAGTTATGGCCGAAAGGCATCATTTAACTGAAGGCCAAAATGATGGTTAATTGATAGACCTTGAACGGGGAAAATACAAATGAAGATCACCCAAGATCCAAATATCCCTCAATCAAGTCATATCAAGAATGTAGAACTACTTTTTAAAGCAATGAATCAGTTAATAGATAGTCTGGGCAAGAGCATCCTAGAGCAACATCTGCATTCAGAGACAATTTTCAGTTATTTGGCTCAAATAAACCCTGAAGCAATTACAAGAGTGTTGATTTCAGGCTGTCACAGGGGGTTTGAATCAGCCATTCTACTGCTGTACAAAGCCTTCATGAGATTGGACCAGTCTTTTTATCTTCTGAAGGGTCTTGTTGAAGAATCCACATATAGTCTGAACAAGTATTCTTTGATCTGGAAGGAGAAAGGAACTTATTTTTCTTCCCTTGCTCATGAAAAATGTCATTTCTTCAGGACCGGTTTCATGGTCTAGAGTGGAATCATCACAGGTGGCCGCAATAAGGTGTATGTCTTTGATTGAGGTTCTGGCCATGGACGAGGTCTTGGAAACCTGAATAGGTTGTTTAGAGTTGTTGTTATAGATGTTCTGTTGATGAATAATAGTGTTTGCTTTTGTCATCCATGGTATCAGAGTAGTTGGAAATTAAAGGATATCTCAAATTAATTGGCCAACTTACCAGGCTTGAACCCGATAGAGTTCCTGCGGCCCTCAAGGAACTGAAAAGTTCACTTCCTTAAGACTTTATTAGCAGTTAAGTAAATTCTTTGAAATTAAGGTGTGAAATTTAGATTTCTGTCAGAGGTGACCATACAGCATAAAAATATTCGTTGTAAAACTGTGATCATTTCCCCATTATTTTAAAATTTTCATAAATTTTACTTTAACCCTTTCATGATGGCCTGCCTTTGAGACGTTCACTTAGGACTTGTGGGAGTTGAAGGAAATTATCGCACAGGATGAGGTGGAATTTTTGCATCACTAGGCCTGACTTTAGCAGAAAAAAAAAAAGTTTTAAGTCCTAATATAATTTTTGGTACTATTTTAGATTATTATTTAAGCTATCATATATGTTAAAATGAGCATTTAATAATCTTTTTCCTTTTCATGAAAATATATAAAAACAATTACTTAGACAAATGATTTTATAAAGCACTATTCAAATCATTCTGAGGTTTTAATTGACAAATTAATAAACTTTAAAATTAATTTAAAAAAATACAAGAAAGACTATTTACAAGAAGAAATAACAAAATCTGTCATGAGAAGTAGAGGGCAGGTACTTGGTGAACTCGGTCTCTGACCAAATGTCTGTATCAGAATCACGAGAGATATCACTCTCTGACTGTTTAGAAAATGAATCATTTCTCATCCATGTCACTAGTTGACTCATTTACCATGTGAGTATACCATTCTTGCTCGCCAAAATAAGGCTTCTGAAAGGTCAAGGCTTTCTAAAATAAAAAAGGAAAGTATGGGAAACATAAGAGATGAAAGAAACATGAAGTGTGACAAAACCCCACATGGTAACCCTAAAAGACACTGCATAGTAGTAGCGGGGGGGGAGAATGAAAAAAGGATTTGAAGGGCTATCAGAAATATGAATGTTTATATCACATGTGAGTTAAAGAGCCAAAAGCTCTATATATTTACATTATGCTTTCCCTCCTCCCCCTGCAGGAGCTGACATCAACATTGCACAGAATATGATCAAACTGAAGGTAGGATCCCAAAACTATATTCAGTTCAAAAGTAATGGACACGGGAAAAAAAGTTTCAATTAAAATGTATATATATGCATCACCTGTTGCTTATGCTCATTCTCCAGTGATGCATTGGTGGGAATGCCTGGCTGTGAGAGACATTTGTAGGGAATGCATACATGGAATGCCCATCCGGAAAGGGGTAAATTAGATGTTTTAAGATAATTGAACTCGCAAAGATAATAATTTATGCTAAATGAGCAGTGTGTTAAAATCATCTTATACCTTTTCCCTTTCCAAAAATTTACAGCTTATAGACAACAACCTATACACTTCTTATAACAAAGGTGTAAAATAGCATAATTATTGACTTTCTTCCTTCTATTAAAGTGTTATTATTTTAAATCTTTTTTTCTTGTTAAAATAGTTTACTTTCCCATTTGTGATTCTTAGTGTTCCTATATAATTTTCTAGGGATATTATTTTTTCCTTCAAATTTTTTTTTGTGTACTTACAGTAAGGGCATTCAAAGAAAATGTTATCAGCATTCATTTGTGAGTGATATTTAAGAATCATTTATTGTTGATTCATCATTTTGTTGAATTTCTGGGCTTGGAAACTGTTTGAACGTAATTCAATCAGTATTTTAAAAGTATACTGCATTATTATTATTTTCTCTTGCATTGTAGTTATTGGTATTACATCTCCCAAGTAGGAGCTGGGTGAATGTTTGCATTTATGGCGTTTTAACAGTCCTCCCCCCACAGCAGTCCAAGCAAGCAATTTTTCTTGCTATCTTCATAAGCACTGCACAAAAAGTATTCGCCTCAAATTTTTGCATTTTCACTTTCTACATTTATGTATCCATAAATATGTATGTATTCATTTATGTATCATAAAAGCTTTTAACTCATTCTATGACAAAGTTTGAAAGAAATTGTGTCTTTCCTTATTAATCTTTGAAAATATTATTATTACCACATTTACTCGCATAATAGTCGCACCCCCATTTCAGAGCATGAAAAAAATCATCAAAAGTGTGCAGTATGTGTAGTAGATCTCGCTGCATAATAGTAGGACCTAGACTTGCACAATGAAAAACTGTCAAAATATGTGCAACTATTCGAGTAAACACAGTATTTTTACATAGTGGCTAAAATCCTGTACATTACAGTAGGAATTAGCAGTCCTCATTTCTATGTTTAATTATTGTTGCTTCTTTATTTGTATTGCTGTGAATGAACAAAGCATAAGATCTTTCATTTATATTTTATGTTAAAAGAGTGTTGCTTGTCAGCATAATGAAGCGACTCATTTAAGAAAAACTGTTACTGCTTCACTTTTTGCAGAAAGTTTTATTATTTTATATTATTTGTGTAATAAATGAAATATATTCTTATCACTAAATTGAGTGCAAAATTTCTAGTTCTGCATCTTCTGTATGTGTTGTTGTTTGTTGTGGTTTCTCATCCCCGTGACCAGCAGAGCTAGATCAGGTCCATGAGCCCATTCACCCTGAAAGAGTCCAGTACAAAAAGGAGGTCTTGAACCAGATCCTGTCTGGTAAGCCCTAGACAAGATAAGATGTGATCAGGAGAAGCCTGTGTGGTAGAACACTTAGTGCGTATTTCAAAGTGTTTATTACCACCGACAAAAGTCATTGATAACATGGCCACTAAGGAATCTAGTAAGTGCAGTTTCATCTCGTCTATTGCTGCTCTGAATCAAGTAGCCATCAGGGCACATACTCTGATACCACAGGTACACTGATGTTACCATCCAAACGGCCTTAATCTTTGCCTTACATGTAGAAAATAGTTCCATGTAAGTAAGAGGAGCGGCAAGCATTGTGGTCTTGCTAGCACCAACTCTAGCCAAGCTGTCCGCAATTTCATTTCCAGCAACGTTGACATGGTATGGAATCCACCGAAAGTGGATCCGATGAGAAAGGGAAAGTTGTTTTAGTTTCCTGAGGATGTTTGCACTTGTACTATCCCTCACGTTATGCCAATTAGCCAAGTGCTGGATGGCACTTCTACTATCCGAAAATATCCAGATGTCTTTTAACTGAGGCAGCCACATGATGGAGTCCAGACCCTCCAGAATTACATTAAGCTCTCTTCGAAATGCCAAGCAGAAGTCTGTATTTCTTCTTTGAATTCTTATTTCTTAATTCCGAAACTTAATATAAATGCCACTGTCATTAACAAGTTTACTGCCGTCCGTATACATGTGAACAGCGTCTATAGAGACATTATTAATTATCTCAAGAGCTTACTGTTTTAAGTAGCATTACAATTCTATCTGTTTGCCAACTTGAACAGAAAGATTAACATGAAGGTGAACCCCATCAAGACTTTCAGAGGGGTCAATAATCTGAGATAAGCTGTGATGTTCAATAGAAGTGGTGATAAGGTGGTTAGAAACAACCTGTCAAAAAGGACTACCACGTTTGAGCCTCTGGTTATTGCTCCATGACCCTAGAAATTTCGAGGTACAATTCTGGAGGCCAAGACTGGAGAGCTTATTGTAGTACTTCAATAAACATTTCTCCTAAGACTTAAAGGCTGCAGATTGGCTTCATAAAGCACAATATCTTTCGGACATGAATTTCTTTCGTATGGTGTTATCTGTATTGAAAATAAAATCGAATGGTAATGGTGAAATTTACTGTAATATACATTGCAGGCTTTTATATACCTTTTTTTTAAATTTGTTTTTCAAATGGTAATAAACTTTTAAATATTTAATACATCTGTATCTACATCATTTTATGTTTAAAAAAATGGAGAAATAGATGCTAGTAATTTTAAAAGTTAAATTCTTTGAGTTGAATTTTAATTTTGCTTAAGAGTAATGATTTAATTTTATTACTTGGCAGCAGTATGTGTTACTGTTATTATTTTTTTTTTCTAGTTAAATCTCCTTTGAATTATCAGATTTTTAATATGGAATTTTTAGTCGAAAAGTTATTTCAACCCCATTATCTTATGATTTAAGCCACATGTAAAAAAGTGCATGTGATTAAAATTAATTTTAGATGTTCACACTTCTAGAATTTTGCTTCATAATGCATGAAATTACAGTTCTAAATGAGTAAAATCAGAGCTGATGCAGCACATGACATAAAATTATTTCCTGCTGTCTGTTAACTCTTCTTTGAGGATCGTGTAGTTGTGAAGTCTGTGAAAGACAGGAACTAGCCCTTTTATAACCCTGGTTTGAACTACACAATTCATAGTTTTAGTGTAAAGTAATTATTCTGCTGAATTCTTAGACTTCAGATTAAGGGAAAAAATTGTAACAGCTGGAACTCTGATATATTCTGGTGTGTGGATATTAAGAAAAAAGAGAAATTAAGAGAACAGTGGAAGGAACAAACAGAACCATTTGAAATAGCAACCAAGACAGCTAAGGTCTGGTGCGACAGCATATACATATATAAGTAGTATACAAGCTCTGGATGTGCAGGAAGGGTATAAAGCATGAGCCTGTTCAGTATTTCAGTGGATGCAATTTTACAATGCATTTCTGTTTGGATGATCCTGAGTTGCTGTTGCTGCATAATATGCCCAGTATATAATCCTGTAGACAATAGCTGGACAGCATTGCTAGTGGCTTAATTATTGGGAAGATTTAAATTATCTGTCATAGCATAGGAGTTGAAGATAACATACAGCATTGTGCTATCAGCTTGGATAATATTTAAAATAGGAACAGTTGCCTGAAGGTTTAGTAGTGCTTGTCTGCTCGAGAATTGTTCTTTCTATATGTTTGAACAGCTTCTGTGTTTTTCTGTAGTCGATACATGTAATACATAATGACAAATCTGCACTTATGGAGTGAGACATACTGCTTGGAATATGCTTGGGGAATTACGATTTACAAAACCATACCACTTTCACTTTACCACTTCAAAGTCCCTTTTATGCATACATATTCCATTACAAAGTCTGCTTATTGTGGTCTGTTTTACCTGACTTTACCTTTTTTCACAGGTATTTTAGAATCATCTTGTGTAACAGAAATGAAAAGTAAATAAGATAAACATTCTAGAGTTATGTCCCAGGCAACACTATACTAATGTGTTGTTTAGATATACTGATAACATTTTTCACAAAGACTGCAAAAACTCATGAGACAAAAGGAAATTAAAATAAATTTAACAAATATGCCAATTGCTTTCTTTCAGACAGACAAATGCAAACATTTTAAATAAAAAATTGATATTAACTGGGTTACATTTTCTTGAAAATAATTTGTTGGTGACAAACATCTCCAGTGACATCTTGGTAACCCTTATGCATTTTTTATATCTATTTTTTTTTTATTATTATTTTTAAATTTTGTAAAAGGTATATCTGGTGACAGTCATTTGCATTTTTTCTTCTCAACTTTCAGTAGATTAACTTCACTTGATACTTTTCCTTCACTTTAGCAGTTGAGCATTAATGTCAAGCAACTATGACTGCCAGAGTTTGCTGTGGCCAAAATTAGATGTCTATAGCTGTCTCTCAAAAGTTTGGTCCCCAACACTGGTTGACCTGTAAGGTCACTGACCACTGGCAGTCGACAGTTTGACTGGGGCTCAAATCATAGCAAGCAAGAGGCTGGCCGTGTGCAAGTTTCGCTAGTTGATTTGTAGTTCCTCCTTGCATAACAAGAATATGAACCAATTCTAAAATATTCTTAAAAAAATCATCATTCTATTAGGCTGATAGCTCTCGCATGTTTTCCATAATCTAAAGAATCCAGTCCTGAGGTTTGGTAGATTACCCGTATGTCATTGGAGATATTTTGTTGCCAAAAAATTATTTAAAAAAAAAATGTGACAAGATGCATCCAATAAGTATTGAAAAACTTATGAATTTAATTTTTTCTGAACCACGTTTCCCTAAAGTTGCTGCGGGTAGAGATTTGTACTAGGAACATGTTTATAATTTAAAAAGTAAAAGTTATTAATTAAAATTAAATATAATTAAGTCTCATAAGCAATGAGGTTATGTTTATCTAAGAAATGTGATTGTTAATGAAGTGTTTTGACTGTTAGCCATAAAACGCACTGTTAGATAAAAAAATAATTGTAAGAAATTGGTGATAAAGATAAAAGAATATGTATCCTCTCACCATATGCTATTCAAAGTATTTTCACTTAGTCATTATTTTTATGTTTTCACATAGTTTTGGTAGTCTTTTGTGCAAAATATTGTACTGACACTTACAAAAATCTGGAATTTTAAAGGTTTTTAATTTCTGACTGTTTAATTCAAATTTAGTGGGTAGCTGAGGGTCATAATTACTTGTAGCACAATCAAATTCTCTGATTCTGTGTCTGAACTAAATTAGTCAATATTTCTCATTGAAGCATAACTGGAATTCCTGTGCTTTAAGTACTAGGCTGGAAAGAAGATTCAGGTAGACTTAAATATATATATATATATAAGCTGTATTTTTATGATTTCTTACCATTAGTACCGAAACAGATAGAAATCAACAACACTGGTAGTTTTGTTTTGGGCTTAATTTCCAATGCAAAACAAGCTGGTGTTTTGAATATTTTTTTTCTCTTTTTCATATATATTTTAAATAACAGCTCAATTTCCTTAGGGAGGCCTTACTTCTTTCGAGTTGCATTCATGTTCTTTTCTGCTTTTTGTGTTGGGGGAGAAACTAGAAATGAATGTTAATTTAAATGCTAATGATTGTCTTTATACAAGTTTAAATCCTTTAATATGCCAGGGGCAAAAATACTTGTAGTCACAATGATTTTTTTTCATTGCTTCATTGTATTTCATTGGCATATCAAATCAAAATATGTTCATATGAATTATGTTCAGACTACAGCCTGAAATCCTATTTGGAAATAAAAATAATTTTGTGCAAGAGCTTACCATTTCTCTTAATTTTTCTTTAAAAATAATATGGTATGAATTTCACATTTCATATGAAAGGAAAAATTTTTTTTGTGAATTCTGCATAATAGTAAAGAAGTTGGGAACTGTTGATGCATGGCAAGTTAGGTTCACAACTGACTGCATTACTCAAGAAACAATGTTATCATGCAAAAATTATTAATGTGTTCTGGTGAGCTTTCAAATTACTTAAAATGATATGAAATATAAAAATTGGTTGGAAAGTTAGTGGGAGAAATCAAACTGTAGTGTCTATACAGAAAAAAGCAGAATTACAGCTGACTGCACACCAAACTGGTATAGCTTTGTGATCCATTACTTATATCCAGAGCTTTTTAATCATTTGTGGAAGTTTAACATTTTCTTGATTTTTTCTTACTGCCTTGTTAGTTAGTGTAGGGTTACCAGATACACTAATTTTGCACTGATAGTTATAATATTTAATGCTATGTAAAATTGATGGTATGAAAGACAAGTGGTTTTACAAAAGGGAAATTGTTAAAATATATAATTATATAATTGTTAAAAGAAAAAATTGAGGATTATGTTTCTAGTGTGTCATAATTTAGCATCCAAAAATTAGTTAGAAACAATTAAAATAGAGAAATGTGAAGATTTTAATTATATGTATCTTTCTATTTTGATTAAAAGGCAAGAAATAATCACATTTGTTGATAATTTGGTTACCTCATTTTAGAGTTGGCAATTTTTCCATTTCATGCCCTGTTGAACTAGTGATGTACTAATGTGCTGCTTGTTAATCTCTTAACATTATTATGTTCTGAAATATGTAAAATTATAAAAAAGAATGTTTCATGTTTCTTAATTTTTTTAAAGTATGTTGGTTGGTATGATGAACCATCATTAGGAGGCTTATCCAAGACACTTGAAGAAATGACAGCAGCTGACCCAAATTTTGGTGAGTTATTTATTTTAAATATGAAAGTAATATTGTATATGAATTAAAGAACATTTTGTTCAATTTTATGAAATTTAGATTTTCATGAGTTATGAATTAAACTGCTCTTATTCTTCTAATAGATTTTAAAAAGGCTGATTCTTAAGTGAATTTTAGTGTTGTTAATGTAGAGCATGCTGTTAGTATATCGACAACATATTCATAAGAATGTTCACTGGTAAGCCATCTGACATTTGGCATAATGGTTCTTTATTCTAAGCATCATGTTTGTATAATGTAGTATAATGAAGTTTCTGCTTCCATCAGGTGCAAGATTGTTAGATTTCTTTATTGTTGGTATTAGATTTTCATATACCATAAATACAGCAAAGGGTGTATTGGTTTCAATAACATGGATGCTTAACTTTCACACCTAATTTATCTCTGTTTTTCTCTTCACTCACTGTTACTTTCCACAACTTATGTGGTTTGCAGTATCATACGAAAAATTTAAACTCTTGAATAAAGCTAAAAGTTTCACAATTGTGTATAAATATTTTATTTAAATGGAAAATGTGTTTTTTCAAGTCTCCACTCAATTTTGTGTTACAAATAACATGAATAAATAATACTTCTTATTAAATTAATGTAGTATATAGTCACTCTGTTGTTGTCATTATAGTTTTCAAAGGTTTTTCCATGTTCCAAGAGCCAACACTTCCTTTCAGGTTTCCTATGAACTCTAAAATAATACTCAACCTACTAGTCATGCAATAAAAAGGACTTTAATGACATCATTAAAGCAAAAGTGGATCAGGACTGTTGAACAGTATCCAAAAGAGGACCTTGTACATGCTTATACAGAAGTTCATCTGATGAGAGAATTACTAATAGAAATTCTAGAGTATTCCTGACTACAGGTAATACTACTTATCAACACAAAATTATAATTGGAGCCATAGTCCCTAACTTCATGTGTGACCTTCTGGCAATAGTGGAGGCACTTGGTGGGTTTGACCCCTTCCCATTTCTGAGCAAGCAAAAGCACTCATCTTCTGTGACTCAAAGGCAGCTCTACACGTAATCCTGGTGGAAGCTCTCTTATCACCAACAGGATCCACTTTTGCTTAAACAAGCTTCAAAAGTTCGATGAGGTCTGCATTCTTCAATGGTTGCCAATGTAAGTCAACATCTCAGGTAACAAGAGCGCAGATAAACTGGCAAAAAAGGCTTAGAATCTCAGCAATAATAATAAACTTTCTTAGATGCAAGTGCCATGGCCGAGTGCAGATTGAAGGGACATTCAATTCCAATAAATCATCAGTTTTATAACACCAAAGGACATGACTTATAACTAAAACCTTAGTTAGATTTGGACTTGGTCGGACTTAGAACTGGCCATCACAGAGTATTGAAAATTGACAGAGAGGAAAGGGAACTATGATAACTGCCCAGACATAGAACTGACAGCTGCGCATATTTTTTATTATCCGACCATCCTTGCTGAATTGTTAAAAATGGGGGGGAATGAACCTCTATGATGGTAGCATTTTGAAGATTACCAGGGCTGTCATCTTTGCCCATGGCACTATTTGAATAGACTTTATCGTAGACACGACAACAACATAGTATACAGTATGTGTATTATTACCATTATGAAAACACAAACCATTAGAAAATTTCCTGAAATATATCTGCTTAGTAAGTCAAGCACTGTGAAAACTACTAGTTAACATGCACTCATCCAGGCGTACCAGATTATGAAATGAAATTTAACTTTACTTGTTTGTAAGTTATTCACTTTTTGTTTCCATGTATATATAATTGTTGTATAGCAGCTGAGTGACTACATTTTGAATTCTGTGTTTGGTTATATGCAGTCATTGAGAATATATTTTATTATTAAGTTCTGTGTCATTGTTATGTATGGTACAAGAAATTGTTACATTAGAAATCAAATGTATTGGAAGTTAACTTTTTTTTAGTGAGTTTCAATAAGCAGTAGCTTATATGCTGCAAGAATATGTAGCTTATATATTAGAGTGATTTATGGGTACTTATAGGTTATTCAGATTTAGGAGCTATGGTAGGCATCTAAATCTGAATAGTAGTTGTTTTTGTTACTGCAGAACTAATTATGGTAGCCTTCTGGGTGACTTGTTTTGGGATTTTGGGTAAATACTGCCAGGTATTGCCTATAACATAGTTTCAGAAGAGTTGCTACTTTTCAGTATTATTTCATAATTCTGAAGAAATCCCAGAGACTTCTTGGGAAAATAGTGAATTGTTAACTCACTGATGTATCCAACATATATCAAAGATAACAGAAGTCTTGAATTAAGGATATTGGTAAGTTATCAGTATTTTTTATGCCTACTGTAGCTTGCAGTTCTGGATAACTCACAAATCCTAATTTGTGTTTTATTCTTGAGTTTCATCTTTGAAATTGAGTGTCTTTAAACAGAATTTTTTAAAAGCAAAATATTTAAAAAATAGTTTTGTATTTTGACTGATATTTTCATATCAACTCCCTTTCGATCAAAATGACATAGATCATATTAAAGACCTTGTGCACCATGCAAGCTCTGAAATAGTCATTTGTTTCATCCACAAGAAACAGTTTCATGATGTTAAATTCTGAATGCCATGCCATATTCTGGTCTGCGGAATGACCTATTCAGCTGTAGACAGGTTTATCTCCATACTGTGTTCTAAAATGACATTGTACAGCAATAACAGACTATTGGAGGGGAATATTTGGAGGATATTCCCCTCCTTTCATGCACTCAGAAAGCATCCTCTACTTCACACTTGATCTAGATAACCACTAATTGTTAAATGCTTATGAAAATCTACAAAAGGAAAGGTCTTAATTTCAAATACTTGCTCTGTAAAATAATACCAAATGCTTTTTGAAAAAGACAAACACTTTTCAATTTATAAGCATTTAATCTGTTTCTTTCTTCTAGGTTAGAGACAGATAGTGGACAAGCATTTTTTTGTTGTTTTTATTAGTCATTTCTTAATTATCCTTAATGTTGTAGTTTTTCTGTTGCTGAAATTTGTCTGTATGTGAAATGGTCATATCTGTAGTCCTGTTAATTATTACTCACATGTTTGAGAATTTTTACATAAAATATTGTATAATTTTCCTGTAAGATTTATAATCTGTGCTTAGGAGAAACATTTTATTTATTCATATTTTAGTGATGGGCAAAGCTTTATCTGTTGGCTTAGATTTACTCGGTACTGGACGAAGTGTTCAGTTAGATGAAGAGTTTAAGGCTGATATTAAAAATTTGGAAATCATGGCAGAAAGTCAAACAAATGTTTTAACACCAAGAGAAAAAGATCATGTCAAGGCTGTTACAACATGGGCATCTGGGTATGTAGTGCTTTATAATTCCTTTTTTTTAATTATGCTGATTAATTTATTTATACCTAATATGAAATTCAGAACTTAAAATTTGGCAATTGTTTTATGCATTTGATATACATAATTTGTTTATATTCCTATTTGTAATCTATCATGCTTCAAATATGTTTATCTTTAATGAGTTATATGTGTATATCTGTAAGCTTGTATTATTATGTATGTAACAAACTGAAATATCTTCTTAGAAATATGCATTTCTTCAAAGATGTCATTTCTGCACTGATTGTGTGTAATTATATCAAACTTGTAGTTCTTTCATAACTTTAGGTTGAAAAATAATTTTGATACACTGTGAAAGTTTTGCAGGTTTTATGTATTTTTTGGGGCTCTGCTATAATGTATATATTTATTTAATTGTTCTTTAGTTGTTAATAATTACATTAATTTTTTCATTAATGTATTCTTGCCTTTCAGATCAATATTATGCATGTGGATTATCATAAACTGTGGGACACATGTTTAAAATGCTTTGTTAGATGGTATTCTAAAGCAAATGTTTAGGCTTACATGATACAGTACAGAGTCCAAAATCTGGGCATCTAATATCTGGATCTGCATAATGGAAAAGTACTGCCTTATATAGTGCAATTTATTTCATTGGGACTCAGATAAGCCTTATGCATATATGGGGAATTAATAATAAAACAGATAACAAAATTAATATAATTCAGGGTATAATTTCCTCAGCGGGCAATAGGAGCAAGATAAATTTTGGCAAAACAACATCCCTTTTGTCACCAGTTACATTGCCAGCAGTGCACAGTAGATGCTGGCTAAACTTTATGACAATAGCCATGAATTAAAAGATTTCCAGATATCACAGACAAAAAGTGGAATTTTCCAATAAATGGACTTTGGGAAGAAAGTGAAAAAGGGGTAATAAATGAAGATGATATAACAGAAGTATTCCATTATAATAACAATGCCCAATAATGAGTCAACTAATGGATGGCAAAATATGTAGTATTGAACCAAATCCAGAAAATTTCACTATTTATAGTGAAGAAAGTGACAGGTTGTTGTGAATGAAAAATTTCGACTGACAATTTAATGGGAATTCTTGACACAGTAGGACAGGAGCTTCGTACAAGAAATTTTGTCTTTCTGGAAAATTAAAGAAAAAGTATTAGCACAAAATATGAAGTAAATTAATAACTTTAATTGAAAGAAATATTTAATAAGGCAAACAAACACTGAGCCCTTTTTTTTTTTTTTTTTTCAAATTTTGTTTTCCTGAAGGTTATTGCTTCATTATTTCATAAACAACTTTTTCATATTTTAATATTATAATTTCTGCATATTGTCACTAGATTTAAACTCATGATCTAAAGTCCAGAACCATCGAAGTTCCGACGAGTCCAAATATCGGATTTTGTACTGTATTGCCTTTCTCGTTATCACATTAAGAAAAAATGGTTTAGTTATAAAATTGATGGAGCCATAAAATGGAGGATGCATTGTTTAACAAAAAGAATTTGATGGTGCATGGTGGCTGGATGGGATTTCTCCCAACTATAAAATGAATCCTTAATTCATAAGTTGATTTCCCTTAAAAAATCTTCCCTGAAGACACTTGTATAATTGCAAGTCATATTTCCTCTAGAAGTAATTTTTAATAGGATAGCGCACTTTGGTATTCTTCCAGGTTATATTAAGAGTTATCCAAGAGAAATTTCCAGTATTATGCTGGTCTCAATTCCCCTAATAATTTAAGTGGCTGATTACTTTATAGAGTTCAAAATTTGGCTAAGATATTGATAAAAGTAATTCTTGAACCAAAAAGGTAAATGTATACATAAGTAAAATTTTTGAGGGCAAGTAAAATTTTGCATGTTTCTCTGAGTTGGGGGAGTAGCACAAATTGTTAATTTTTATTACTTCAGTTTTATCAGTTGAACTGTAAACTTTTACATCATGGTTGTCGATTAGTTAACTCTGCAGTGATGTGAAATTATATCACTAATGAATTTACAGAGTATTTAATATTGGAATGTATTGTTGATATCTCGTGGTGCTTCACATATTTCAATGAAGTACAAAATAATAATTTTAGATACCTTTCTTCTGTTTTAAGTTACTGTATTTGATTTTATAACAAATATTTTGCATCTTAGCTTATAAAATAATTATTATACATTTTTAAATTTGGGTGTTATGTGCATTTACCCAAAACCAAAAGTTTAAAATCTTGTAATGTAGCTTTCTGTCACTTTTTCAGCTCCATCACCTTTTCAAAATTGAGAGTTGTTAATGAATTCTTAATGCCATAGTACTCTAATAGTAAATTAGTCATGTTTAGTCATTTAAGAAATCTAAATTTAGAACACTTTTTTAAGAATATCTGACTTGCATTTATCTGTTTGAGTAATACAAACTATTCAGACTATTCTTTCTCTTAAATATGTTTACTTTTTGCTACTTGGAAACCAGTTTATGTGACATGATCATGAAAGTTTTCAGCAATAATGCCTACATCTTCATGGCTGATGTTAGCTAGTTGCTTTGAATTCAGCATTGAATTTATGTGCATTACTTTTTCGGTTAGTTTCACTCATAATCCACCAGTTGAGATCTTCACAGACATCTGCATCATCCTTAATTGTATATATCTACTGGCTTATTCACTATAGTGCAGAAAGCTTTCAGGAAGTGTAGGTAGCACAAAGATGATTCAGAATTGCATAGCCTTGCAGGTTTCTAAAATGTCTTATATGTGAGCTATTTGTCAGAGGAGCAAAGAAAAAGAACAGCAACATTTTGTGTAATAGAAATCGTTTTGGTTGCAAGTTTTATGTTTGTGCTTTTACATTGGTGGTGTGTACAAGCTTTGCAGAAAGTGTTCAAAATTCTGACCAGCAGCTGTCACACAAGCTTCTCAGCGATGCCACATGGAATTCTTAGCATTCTGGAAGATTCCTGGCATGTCTTGCCTCTCCCTGGCAGCTGTAGAGAGGCAATCAATGAGGTCTTCAACTGAATCAGTGGGGAACTCGCACACCATTGTCTTCATCTCATCCCAACACAAGTACGGACATGATAGGTTTAACAATCTAGCAGGCCAATGAATTGGACACCACGACCTGTTCAATTATATCTAAATTAATATTTAGGTATTGGTGGATATTATTGGTCTAATGTGGGGGAGACCGTTGGAACTGCATTGCATGGTGCAATGATTGAGGAACAGGTGCTTCTTAAATAAGTTTGGGCTGGGCTTGCTGTAGTAAGGTCAAGTATGTCCAGACAGTAGTCTAGATGAGGGGTCAGAAGTTACTGCCCAAGGAGGTAGTCTTCAATAATGCAGACCCAAACTTAGAGAGAGAAATGCTTTCTGCATGTGTTTGTGCATCATAAGAGTTTTCAAAAGCCCATAAATGGGCATTATGTGGGTTGAAGGCTTTTTGTAAAAATTGCCTCACAGATGAGCAATATGATCGTAGCGTATGTGCTGTCTGTCGCACTCTGTTGAAGATACCAAGTAGCAAAATTCCTCTGGAGTGCACAATTTGCATGCTGTAATAGTTGGATGTATTGCAAATGGTATGAACACATTTGGTTTTTTGATAGTATCCTCCATACAGTGGCTTAAAAAAAAAAAAAAAAAAAAAAACGAATCATTACCTATTGCTCAAGTATTCATACTTGAATTGCCTTCTAACAGACTTAGGATATTCTCCTCATTGTCTGGCATCGTTTGCTCTCAATTTATGGTAGCTGTTGTGAACCTGTCTTAGCAATACAAATGTAGCAAAATCTTTTTTAAAATAAATTTCAGTTGAATTACAGTTAATTTCTATGTATTGCATAATATAAAAAAGTAAAATTTAAGAAAATATAAAGCGCTGAGGGAAAAATACCTTAGAAATGCAGTTTAGTATGATAGAGTTCAAAACAAGGTTCAAGGCAAAGTCCAATTTCACAGTTTTTGCACCAGATTCAATAAATTTAATTAATAATAAATCTAATTATTAATCTAATTAACAATTCAATAATTTAATTAAGTAATCAAGATAATCGCTGAACGTTTTATAGCAGCCATTTCTGTAAGAAAAAAGTGGCAAAAAGTGAAGTTTGAGCTCTAATACCACATGCCTTCAAATGCCGCAATTTAGTGGACAACTAACGCTGACCAAAACATAAACTAAATGCCTAATATTTTGTATATAATTTATTTTAGTGGTTAAATGAGGAAAAACTTGATGCACTCCTCATATAAGGAAGAAAAACATTTGCTCGTGGAAATCGCGGGATAAGCAAATTTTGTTACATTTGAGTTGTCCGTGGAAATCGCGGGATGATCAGCCAGAGGGTTAATAAAGGATCTCAGCTCTCAGGATGGAGTAAAAGATATGATTTTATCTTAAGAATTTTCTGATAAATATTCAATTAAACTCTGAAGGATTTATTAATTATTTTCTTAGAAAAACAGATAAAAGCATTTAAGATAGTGAACTGGATATGAAAGGGAATTTAAACTAAATACTTATTTTTAGTTCTTCCTTTTCTTTGTGGATAATGTGAAGTTTATCAGAATATTTATTATAGGGATTTGGTTGAAGCTACTGTCATATGGGATGAGATTTTACAAAGTCATCCTACAGATATTTTAGCACTAAAAATGGCTCATGATACCTATTTTTATCTCGGCTATCAACGGGAAATGAAAGACTCGGTTGAAAAAGTTCTTCCTCATTGGTCATCTGATATTCCATTATATGGGTAAGTGTTTTGTCCCCAATTTTTTGCTTATGCATGTGTTTGGTTTTTTAAATCATCTCTACTTATTACAAACTGAAAACTTATTTTCTTTTCTTTAAAATTGTTTCATGCATAGGTACATTTATGCATTCATGATTCATATGTTATATATATAAATTTTATTAATAAAAGCTCTTGGTTGTAGCAGATAGTATGCAAGTGCTATCCTGTGAAGCAGATAGATTTCTGAAAGAATTAATTATTAAAAAAGTATTGTATGTTTCTGAAAGAATTAATTATTAAAAAACTATTGTATGTAAATTTAATGTATTTGCATGATATTTAAGAGGTTTAGTATTTTTGTATTACATTGCCCTCCAAAAGTTAAGGAACAGCATGTTTTTGTGTCTAATTTGAGAATGAAGTAACATAGAAAGCAGGAATTTAGAGGACGTGTTCACTAAAAAGTTCTTTAATGAATGCAACATGGAATGTTTCTAAAGTTCAACACAGCCATGAATTACAACAAAAAATTGCACTCTTGGCAAAGAAATCCAGTCTTGGAGAACCAGTATATTGCAGTTTTTTGAGGATGTTCCGTGCTGTCGATTAAGTTGTCAGTCTTTGAAAAGGGAAGCAAAGACCAGACACAGAGTAATCCTTGTTCAAGCTCATCTAGTGACCTTGGAGAAGGACTTAAAGCAGCAACTTCTCTCCCAAGGTAGTCCCCAAAAATGCTCTATCGGATTCAGGTCTGAGGATTGACTTGGCCATTCCCTCTGCTCCATACTGTCACCCTCAAGATGTTCTTCAGCAACCCAAGCTCATTGTGGTCGAGCATTGTCATCCATCAGAAGAAATCCAGGATCAATAGCTGCGGCATATGGTCGGACATATTGATCAAGGTACTCATCTCGATATCTCACAACAGTCAAAGTTCCTCCATTGAACACATGCAATGTGACCACTGAGAGAGATCCCAGCCCAAAGCATTTTCCACCACCTCTGGAATTATGTCTTTCCACAATGTGGAATTGGTTGTATATGCAGCACTGTTCTGTCCAGATCACCTGACGACCTAAATCACACCCAGTGTGAACCTGGAATCGTCTGTGAAGAGAACAGAGGCCCATTGTTGACTGGTGCAGGAGACTTCTCTTGCTTAACATAAACAGGCACCTCCGAGTCGTCAGGTCAAGAGGACACAAGCAACTGGTCGTCTTGCATACAGACCTGTATTGTACAGTCATCTGTGCACTGTAGTAACTGGGAATTTTGTTCCTCTTGCCTCTAAATGATCTGCCATGAGCTGAAGCACAGTAATGTTACTCCTCATTTTGGCCGAAAGAGCTAAATAATGGTCTCCCGTAGGTTTTGTAACTCTAGGTCTGCCTGGAACATGTCTTTCTGAACAGAATCCTTTTGATCAAACTGATTCCATAGTCGGTGGACAAACTATAAGAGACATTGAGACGTCAAGCAGCATCGCTGTGACATCCCATTTCTCCATCTGATTGCTGGCCACTTCACTTAATTGGGCAACGCTTCGCCTAATTGATAACCTCTGGATATTTCAATGAAATTGCAATACAATTAAGATAACCCTCACGACAAACTTAATTTTGCATTTTTTCTCATCCTACATAAAGTATTCATTTCTATAAAATAAAGGTGTTAGCTATTGTTTTTGTATATATTTTCTTCATTATTATCATTCTTATAAACTGCGAATTTAAATGTTACTGACATTTTTTGTAATGGTGAGCTTTGAAAAACATGCTGGTCCTTAACTTTTGGAAAGTAGTGTATTTCAATAGATATACATGAGTGAAAAAAAGGACTAATATATTCCGTTCATTTTAATTGTTGGGCTGACAAAACTGGAACATGTGCGTATGCAATGATAACATGAGTTGTACTGGAGGGGGGGGGAGGAATTTTCTCTACAAGCAAAAAAAAAAAAAAATAAAAAAATGAAACAAAAAAAATTTTGTGAAAAAAAAAAAAAAAAAAAAAAAAACAAAAAAAAAAAAAAAAAAAAAAATCCCCCCCCCCCCCCCCCCGACCCCCAAAAAACCAAGCCCCCCCCCCCCCACCCCCCCCCCCCTCCCCCCCCCCCCCCCCCCCCCCCCCCCCCCCCCCCTCCCCCCCCCCCCCCCCCCCCCCCCCCCCCCCCCCCCCCCCCCCCCCCCCCCCCCCCCCCCTCCCCCTCTCCCCCCCCCTCCCCACCCCCCCCCCCCCCCCCCCCCCACCCCCCTCACCCCTGTGTACCCCCCCCCCTTCCCCCCCCCTCATCCAGAGTTTTCAGAAACTGAGTTTAGTTTAGCACTACCTGCCAGTGATTGTGTTGGATCATGCTGCAGCTTTTTTAATTTCCTGCTAGTAAAATCGCCAAGAAATACTGAAGTGCAAATACAAAAGATTGGCTGCAGTTGTAGAAGAAATGGGTTCAAGAAATTGGTATGAAAAATAAATCTTTAGTTATTGATTGTATTAAAACAGTCCCATTCTGCCTCTCTGGATGGAAGCAGTAACACGGATGCAAAACTGTGTCCAGTTTTTTTTTTAAATTTTAAAATCCAGAGTTTTCAGAAACTGAGTTTAGTTTACTTTCTATCCCCACTTTAGAAGGAGATTTGACAGGCTGTAATATATAGCACAGCTAATTATTAAAGCTTTAAATGAAAGTGCAATTCTTAGTCTTAGAGCCGACAATACACCAGGAATGGTAGGCTTGAAAACTGATGTTACAGACATCTCAAAAAAAGAAAATTTAAATTTCAAATTATGAAATGCAACTGTCATCTCTTAAAGTTAGCAATTGAAAAAGGGTCAGCTTCTTTGCCAATAAGTGTAGTTGAACACATTGTTGATGTTATTATCTTGGAAAGATTGTTGAAAGGAAGGAAAAATTGAAACAATTCCATTAGCTGCATAATACTAAAAAATCTGAAATATGTATGTACACAGTGGTTATCTCTAGAGAAATTTTTATCTAGAATCCTCGCCCAATGGAATCCACTTCTTACGTTATTTTTTTAGGAAGAACTAAATGCTTCTAGAGTTAGGATAAAAGGCTGTGTTGAAAGTTATAAAATACTGTAAGTAAATGGCAATGCATTTATTACTTCCATTGTTAAAAATAGGTTTGATAAAAATTAAGCAATTTCTGCACCTGTGAGCAATTCTCTGAATAATACTATGAAGTGTAAGCTTGAAGCTGTCTCAAAATAAAAAAACAGTCGAATGAGAAGGGACACATTACCCAATTATTGTAAGTTTATCTTTTGAAGAACGAATATTTGTGTTTTTGTCTTTGGATCTTAAAAAACATTTTGCTTTTTTGTTTACCTAGATTTCATTGCATGATAAATTCGCATACTATGTCCATGATATTTTTGTGTATTTTTTTTAGATACCTATGTCTCCAGCATTGAACATCAAGTTGAATCAAAATTGACTGTCATTTTTGTTTTTACATGTGAACACTAAATCATTCAACATTCATCCTACTGCACAAATGGATATATTTGGCATCTCAACTTTGTCATTTGTAACTGCTCTTTTTTTCATTGTAGGAATTTGGTTCTGTAAAAAACTATGAATATTTCTTTGTATTTTTGTTAAAGTTATTTAACCATGCCATTTGATTTAGGTTTGTGTGCTGAATTTTATAGGTCATTTCTTTCTCCAGGGTCGAAAATCCACCATTTTCATTTAGTTTAAATTTCATAAGAAAGAAACACCAGTAAAATTGGTGGCAAAAATGACTATTTTATTATTGAATTTGTTGGCAAAATCTTCCTGTAATTTGACAAAAATATTCATAATGATAATCTTAGGTAATTACAGTAAATTTCCAGCATTATGAGGTTAGAAATTAAATACATCTTGAAGACAAGCAGACACCATGACAGCTGCTTTCTTCTTTTCCGGTCAGTGAATGAATGAATGCTTAATTAATTTCCTTAGCAAGAGTTGGAGTGAGATTGTTGGTTACTGCTGTTTGCAGTTTTGCCAGTAAGGCCAAGTCTTATTGGTGAGTTGAATGATTGATGGGATTAAGTACATTAAGTAAAAAGTTGGATGTGATACAATTTGGGGATTTGTACCTCCTCTTTTCTGCTTTCTTGTTCAACAATATTTGTATTTCACAGCATAATTTTGGAAGTAGGCAGAACTTTATTTTGTTATGGATGTTCTATTACAAAATGGTATAACTGTGTTGTATTACGAAATGGTGTAACTATTCTATTACATATGCATATGATTTCTGCATATGTTCCAGTGTTCTCAGCTTAAGTTGAATGTGAGTATAGTGGGCCATAAAACATGTATACAGGCTATACAAAACTCTTGAGATATGTTCCTGTGTTACTTCTTGCATGTAAGTGATCAACTATTGATTAGATATTGAACTTTATTATCTGAAAGAACCTGATGAACCTCTAGTGTGCATTCTTAAAACCATGTCAAGATTTGTCTTAGAATATAAAAAGATGAAGCATTTTTTTTTTACATGCTGCTAATTTACAGTTCCTACACGCCGATATGCCTTTTAAAGAAAACCACCAATACATGTGACATAAAACTGCAGCGTGAACCAATAAAAATGATAATAATGTGTTACAAAGGAGAGTTCAGAAAAAAAAAAATAAGTCAATAAAATTAAGGCTTATGAATTTAATATGAAATTTATCTCTTCCCGACTAGTACACGCATATCACAATGAGTGTTCATGCTGGAAATAACATTTTTAACCACGATTTGGGGAATTAAGTTTCACTCCTCCAGAAGTCCTTCAGGGCATTTTAATTCCTGAGAGGACGATGTCATTGCCATTCTACTCTTCTATACTAGTCCCATAAGTTCTTTATTAGGTTAAGATGAGGAGATTTTGCATTGAAACTCCCAATGGCAACATACATTTTGCAAATGAGATGAAGCAGCTATATGTATAGATGAATACATAGTAACAGGAGGGCTAATAAATAATTATAGAACATTTGGACTAAAAGTTTGGCGAGTTTTCTTGTACAGTTAAATATATATATTCCAATAGCAAAGGTTGCTTTTGAGGGTGTATTTTTTTAAAACACCAACATCCGTCTTTGGATAACTGTCTGTGTCTTTAATATATATACATGTTGAATATTCCTTTTGAGACTTAAAAAATTAAAATTTGTATATCAGGCAACTAAAATGAGAGATGGTACATTTTTTTGGGTAGGGAGGCTGCATTCTACACAAACAGTGATGATAGTATGTTATCTTTGAAGAAGCGAGTATGTTTTTTGGGGGTATTTTTGATTGAATATGAGCTGTTTGCAAATACAGAAATAATTTTTTTAATATATATTTTTTTGCAGTCTCTAAGTTGCAAAAAATCAATTTTAAACTGGTAAGCATTTTTGGAAATTAAGTTTTAATGATTGATATTGTAATATGTATATATATATATATATATATAAACTCTGTTTTATTTTCAGCCATTTATTTGGAATGTATGCATTTGGACGGTAGAGATAGAATCATATAAAAAGGCAGAAAGTAATGCAAAAAAGGTAATGTACTTATTTATTTAATTTTAAAACAAAAGAAAAACTTCTTTATAGCCATGGACATATCGAAAAAGTTTTTTTTATATAATTTCTGTATCATATCTGATATTTAAGACCACTGATTTAAAAAAATTCTGTATAAAAAAAGTTCAGGAAATTGATTATTTGTAAAATTTTTGTTTTTATATCAGTTTTAGCTCTTATTATTTATTTTGTATGTAAACTGTCATCTTAACTGCTTGCCCTGACACAGAAAAGAAAGAAAAAAATAAGTGTAGTAATAATAAAATATATGTTAAAAAATATCATGTAGCAAAATGCTTGATTCAAAGTTCAAATTGGATGTTTTGAATGATGTGATCAGTGTTTTCAAAAAGTTTCTAGTGTTTTTGATACTTAAAATTAATCTGAAATTTAGAAAAAATATTTCTATGCTAATTTGTATCATGGCTGTAGTATATGAATCATAAATAAATTAATTTATCCAAATGGTCTTTAAACTTTTTCATTGTGGCAAATGAATGAATTGGTTTATGTTGGTTTTACATATGAATGAGTGGAGTCTTTAGTCATGGTTAAATATTGAGGTTATTTTCACTGTATTCTTGCCATTTGCAACACTGTCACTTAATAAAATACTTGTTAGTGTGATGGATTATTTTTTCTTTTCCTTCATGGCATAACTAAAATTGCTAACCAGTGAATATTGATTTTTCATTTTTTTAACAGTGCATTTAGACTATCACTATCTAAATTTTCTGTTTAAAGCTTTATACTTATTTAATTGTGTTACAGTCAAAAGTCGTTAATTCGGACACCCATAATCCGGAATGATCTATAATCCGGACCTCAAAGATACGAACTGCGTATGCGTCGCGTTCACGCATGCGCATAGGTGTTTACGAGTGCACGTAAGACCTTTACGGCTGCGAATATGTGTGTGCGCATGTACGTTTAATGTGTAACGGACGGTATAAGCTAAGCTAAAATTATCTAATTCAGTTAATGTTGCAGATTGTGTTGTTCCTTAATCTTCAAATTGGATCCGGCTTATTATTTTTTGCAGACTGTTAGAGCAATTTTATAAAAGTAAGCTTGAACTTTCGATTATGTCAAATAGAATTTCCGATATATATTTGATATACAAAGCGAAAGTATGTTTCGAAATCCGAAATCTGTTTATCAATTTCACGCCGCGGCGTGCAATGAATTGGAAGTTGATTCTTATCTTCATGGCAGATGTTTTTATTTTATTTGGCTTATAATTCCTTACTAAATGTAGTATTTCATCTCGACGTACTCCGTCTTTGATATGATTTAAATCAAGTTCCTCGTCATTATAATTCGCTTCCGATAGTGAAGAAAGTGACCGATTGACAAATTAGTCGAACACAGCAATTATAGGACTTCAACAGCGGAACTTTGTAACTAAACAAGAAATTATTTCTGTTTAATAGAATTAAAGAGAAAGTATTATCACATGAAACAAAGCAACTTAAACAACTTACATTGAAAGAAATGTTTAGTAAAGTAAACAAATAAATATTAAGCTTTTTTTTGTAAATTTTGATATCCTTTAGATCATAATTAATTGTTCTTTATTTCATAAATTACGGTTTCATATTTTTAATTTTGTAATTTCTGCATGCCATCTTACCAGATTTAAACTGATTATCTATAATCCGGAAAAATCGATAATCCTGACGAGTCCGGATTAAAGACTTTTGACTGTATTTTTCTTTAATGAAAGAAATTCGTCATGTTTCCTCAGGTGCATCATGAGATATTTGTTGAATAGGAACACCGTGGGTATAATTACTGCAGTAGTTAAAGCTTTATACTTGCTGAATTGTCTGACAATAAGTTATTTTTATTTAGCGAAAGAAGTCCATGTTTTCGTAGCTGCTTCATCAGGAATTTGTTAAATGGGAAGGTTTGGATTTAGTTACATTTACCCAACTCCTTGGTCTTGTTTTAGAACCTAAAATAGCTGAAATGAAAACATACTGAATTTTTTAAGTATTCCCCCCCCCAAGATTTCAAAATTTTTCCAATATGAGCAGTGATTATGGTCCCTGAATTGTTCATGTTGCTTAAAAGAATGGATATGGTCTGCTATTTAATGCTTTTAACAGTAATTTTGATTATTTCCTTGTTTGAAAATAAGATCTGTTAAATGGCATTTCTGTTGTGTGTGGCTAGCACACCCAGCTAGTTGAGTGTAAGGTCTTGAATTTGATTCCTGGTGTGGCTACTGGTAATTTTTCCAAGGTTTTGAAATTCCAAAATGGCATTAACTCTACATGTTGATTAACCATGTACAAGTGTTCCACACTGAATGATTTATATAAATATGTATTAAAGTCAGAATTCAGTACTAGTATTTTTCAGTAAACTAAATTAAAAAAAAAAAATGAAATAGAAAAGTATTTTAAATTGAATTTTGAGTGAACACTTTAAGATTAAGCACTTTGAGCTATAAATTTCAAGTAATGTTTTGTTTGCTTATCATTCTTCCTAATTTATTCTTCACATACAATTGGGTAATCCTTTTTTGGTATGGATATGTAATTTAGAACTATCAAAAGTTACCTGGTCTTAGAATTCTTGAATCCAGTCCTTTGTTTATGATAAGTTCATAGGGCATATTTCTATAATCTTCAAAATGCACTTTAAATATTCTCGCAGAGATGAAAGAATCATGTGTGTGGTCCCTGCAAATCATTGCTTTTAAGCTTTTACTATCTGTCACATGACATGTTTCTATTGCAGATGCAATAATTCATTCTGGTTGACAGTGCAAGAGACAACTTCACGATAGTGTCAGGCAATTTAGCGTTCTGCACCATGTCTGTCGTCAAATCCTCTTGGTTCCAGGAAGGCTGGCGAACCAGTGATTTTCTTTTTCCTCCGATATCGTTCCAGATATAATGAATCAGAGGACGTAAAATGCAACAGAAAAATTAAGGAGGCATTGCAAATTCAGTCTGAAAACTTCCATCAGGACAGCACGTCAGACTGCTCCTGAACTCTTGGCCAGAGAGACCTAGAAGGCTCCTGAACTCTCAACTAGAGAGACCTAGAATGCTCTTGACTAGAGAGACCCTCGTTAGCAGGTTCCTCACACTATGAGGACTATAATTCATTTCAATAACTGTCTGGGCTATCCTTGAATTATATATATATTTGTAATGAGCTTCTCGTTATTGTAATAAATACATTTTGAGTTCAGTAATGCAGTTAAGTATCACACAACCCGACACACATACCCAATCATTATAAGGAGCCAGATGTGCTACCTACTGCCACTCGGCACAGTGGTAACCCACCAGTCATCTCCCAAATGCATACAGTGTCTCACCAAAGTGATGGGACACTTGTGCTTTACGAAAGGAAACTGTAGTAAAATAAATTAAAAAAACATGTAAAAATTTTTTGTGGGTGTGTTTCATACTTAAATTTAGTAAACAATTATTACATAACATACATTTTCTCAAAATATTAAAAATAGTAATTTAATAAAAATACAATTGTTTAGAACGGAGCAAAAAATGGCTCACATAAGTGATGGGGACACTTACTTTTCCATCAAATATTTTATCCAAAAATTTTACTTCTTAAAAGGTTTAATATTTTGTTGGATTTCCTTTTACTTTTAAAACATGATTTAATCTTCTTGGGATGGATTCGAGACTAATTTTTTTGGTGATTTCTGGAGTGATTTTAAACCCATTCTTCTTCTTGAAGCAATGATTTTGATGGGTTGGTTTGAAGAAATGGTGTGTTTGCGAATTCTTGATTCCAATTCTATTCTTGCCAAATATCCTCTATTGGGATTTAAGTCTGGAGATTGTGGTTGTGTTTTTTATTATTTCAGGACAGTTATAAACAGCAGCCAGAGTAACGTTCAAAGCAGTGTGCTTGGGGTCATTGTCCTGGTAGAATTTAAAATCGTTATGAAGGATCAATTTTCGTACTGAAGATTTCAAATTTTGATTTAAAATGTCAATATACTTGTACTGATCCATTATACTGTCAATAAAAACAAGATTACCAACTCCAGCGGATGACATACATCCCCATACCATAACCCTCCTCCACCATGTTTTACTGTTGGCACCAAGTTCTGTTTGCGAAATTCTTTCCTGGGTTTTCTCTACACCAAGATTCTGCCGTCAAAACCAAATATATTAAATTTACTCTCATCGGCAAATATAACTTCATTCCAGTGATCAGAGTTCTTATTTTTGTTGGATTTTGCGAAAGCCAGTCTGAGTTTTCTATTCTTTTCACTTACGAAGAATTTTTTCCTGGCTGCTCTACCGTGATATCCAGCAGATCGAATTACTCTTCTAATAGTCTCAGGTTTAACAATTACTTCATATAATGCTTGTAAATCAGTAGCAACTTTAGGAGCACTCATTCGTAGATTTTTTTTAATATTTTGAACAATAATTCGCTTTATTCCATTGGATAGCTTTGATGGTCGGCCAGGTCTTCTTTTATCCTGAATCATATGATTCTTTTTATATCGAAACCTGTTGAATGACTCGTGTTAACTGTTTCAACAGTTTCTCTAATAGATTTTCCAGGTTCAATATGCAAATTAATAACTAATTTTCGAATTTCAGGCAAAGTTTCTTTTCGTTTAGCATTCATGGCTGCACAGAGCTAAAAAACAAAAAAACTAAAAAAATTCCAAAACAAACTGGAGAGAAATACTGCAGACGATTTTTATAAATTATTGCCAATTGCTTTTGAGTAAAAATAAAAAAACCCCAAAATATTTTTATTGTAGTATGTAGTAGTATCTAATGGTGTCCCATCACTTATGTGAGCCATTTTTTGCTCTGTTCTAAACAATTGTATTTTTATTAAATTAATATTTTAATATTTTGAGAAAATGTATGCAATTAATAAATGTTACTAAATTTAAGTATGAAACACACCCACAAAAAATGTTTACATTGTTTTTTAATTTATTTTAATACAGTTTCCTTTTGTAAAGCACAAGTGTGCCATCACTTTTGTGAGACACTGTATCTCTTCATTGTCTCTCACTTGAAATTATTTTTTTAAAAATTCAAATCTGATTTAGGTTTTTTAATTTCTATTCTATTAAAATTTCATATAGATTTTCATACAGTAATAGGTTTAAATTGCGTTGATTTGAATTGAACAGATATTCATTTTATAAATTTTTTGTCTTCTTTTTTTTAGACTATTGACATAGAGGCAAAAGTGCATGTTTTAAAATTGCCATGCATATAAATAGGAATATTTTGAATTTTAGAGTAGTTCAGTGAGTTTTCTGCAGTGTTTTGAAGTTTTCAAACTTTCTAATGTATTGATATTTTATTTTTGTTATGCAGAATATTTAAAAAAGATATGGAGAATTTCTCAGCCTTGAACATTTTCAAAAAGAAAATTGCATTAATGATAGACTGTTATAGCAGGTTGCTGGGTTGGGTTGTTTGAACATGACAAAGCCGCAAGGGCTATCTGCCTGAGAGGAGAGGTCCCTTCATCGAGGACTTTTTAAGAGACATTTTCTCATAACATGGGAAAAACACAAAAGCAAACCATACGACCAACCTATTTTTTGAGATTAAACCCTGGGGAATTGCTGGGATTCCGTGGTCTTAACCACTCGATCACTGGGTGCCCGATGAATTGCTCAGTGCACGTTGACTTTCAAAATGAAAATTGTAATAGTGAATTGCTAAGTCAGTGCACAAGTGGAAGAATTTATAGTTAGAAGGGTACTGGATCTTTCTGAATTTGTGAAAGGCATTATCACAAATGCTTTTTTTTTTTTTTTTTTTTTTTTTTGTATCAGTAATTCTGAAAACAGCAGAAATGATGGCAGGTTTTTGCATTTAGTCAGTTAAAGGATGTGTAAAATAACACCAAGCTGTTTTTCTAGAACATTTTAACTGTGACTGTATGTCATTCTGTCTGCTATGAGATTCTTGCCAGTTGCAATGGTTTTTGTTAATAATTATTAGTGCGTAAAGTTAACCTTGACATTTTTGCAAGAAATCAATACTTCTCAATCAACGAGTGTTTAGGAGCATTGTAATTGACTAGAAGAAGAAGCAGATAAATGTCGTATACATTCACATTATAATTACTTAATACATCACATTATAATTGAGAGTACAGCTAGAAAGCTCTTACTGAAAGAAGTTTGAGTATGAAAAGAGCTGCTGATCCATATGTTGCAGATTTAACTTATTGTGGAAAAAATGGTAGCTAATTATTGTGTTAAAATATTCGTAGCTTGGATGTATATTATTTTTTTGGAATGCTGTGTGCATGGGCAGATTATTATATTAAGAAGGAATGGCCAAAACATTAATCAATAGTACCTGAACAAAAAAGTTTATATCCATTATTTTTCAACTTTGCTATGTTTTTTCTGCCTCAACTTGATACAAAGTTTATACTTTCCAAAAATATTTTTAATGAATAAAAATTGTGTCAGCCTCATTATCAACTTATTATTACAAATGATTCTATAATCGGTGAAGGTTCTTTTGTAGACTTCTTGAGAAAGCTTTGAAAATCATTTGTTTAATCAAGTCAATGTGCTGGCCAATGAGAATTAAAGAATTCATAAGATGCAGCAAAACTGCATGGATATTGTTATATACATACAATGATGTAAGTTGTAATGTTTCTTGAGATGCATTTCTTTGACTTCGCAAAGCAATAACCTTGTATATGGTGTAGATTTTAGCCATTTTAGTCATTTAAACATACAGTAGTTAAATATCCATATAGAAACATCTAATAATAATCTGATAACATAATTCTATTAAAAATAAATATTATAGCTCAGCTATGTTCTAGTGACCAAATTCCATAATGACAACAATGCAAAAGCATGTTGCCAACACAGGGCAATGAATATATGTAAATTAAATACGAGAGGCATGAAAGTAAACATAAGTTTTCCGTATTTTTAGTATACTTGTTATTTTGTAATTTCTTTCAACCTACAGGGATAGCGATTTATTGATTTCTTGGGCAAACGGGTGTAGGTCCCTCTTCATCAGGAACAAAGAAATCTGCTCTTGATCTCAGAATATTATTGGCAGATTTCTTTGCTCCTGATGAAGAGGGACATGTGCCTGTTTGCACTCAAAATCAATAGTTTGTGTCCAAACGCAAGGTTGTTGCTTTGCTAATTTCGTTTTTCTGTGGCATGTTCATCTTCTGTCTTGATTTCTTGGACTCTCAGCTAATAGGTTGCCTGACAATTTTTAGTGTCGTGAATGGTTAAGTTCTGTTAAGTTACATATGCCATGCAGAAGAGTACCAGAAACAATAAAGTGGAAAAAATGCTAGCTAATTATTGCTGGGTGGTGAAGAGATATATTTCAGATGCTAAATAGAGTAGGTCAATAAGATGAACAAGGTGCTGATGTATGAATTGAATGTTACACCACGAAAGGAATTTTGAAGAGAGTGAAACGAGTATGATTTTGGTTTATGGTATTTTTGTGGCATTTTTTATTGTATTTTGTTGCAATATGTATTTATTGTGTTCATTTGTGTATTTTATTGCACTTCATGTCATAATTTCATTCTGCATTCTTTTGTTTAATAAAATTTACGTAGATCTTGTATTTCTGAATCAACCAATGTTTGAATTGTAGTGACCAGTTAGAAATTTGAAATATGGGCAGAAGCTCTTCTGGCAACATTTTATGATTTGCCAACTAATTAAGAAAATTTTCAGTAAAAGTATTTTTTAGAACATTGGAATGATTTTTCTTGAAACATCTAGAAGTGTTTGCACAACCTTGTAAGTACAGTTGCATTAGTACCTGAGGGCAGTTAGCCGAGTACTTCAGTTGAGTTTTGCAATTATAGTGAGCTTCTGCACAGCGATTACTGTTTTAGATTTTGCTCTGTGAGTGATTTTAGTGATAGCAATATTCTTTGCCTGTTAAGACTTTGACCTATATCTGCTTTTCTCCTTAACCCATGAATAGATATACCTTGCTTTAGAGTTGCAATTTATTTCAACAAAGTGTTAACTTCATACTGCTCATCAGACATAACTTTTAAAAACTTCTGTATGAATTCATAATACAGAACAATATTAATTTAAAATGTAATATGATCTGACAGATGATTCAGTAAGACAATGATAACTGAGGAACTGCAAGTTAATCAATGAAATATTAGGCTAGTTTTAAATGAAGAATTTGGTGTGAAAAAGATTTATTCAAAGTTTGGGCCTTGAACAGATTTAGGGAAATTACCTAGCTGAAAAGCAGTTACCTATTTAATTGCCCAGCTTTTTCAAGTGACTTAGATTGCTGTGATGTCTTACTATTTTCCAAATAGAAAGCACTGCTGAAGGGCACAAAGATTTTTAAAGATAACAGATGTCCAACAGGATATGAAATAGGTATTTAAAAAGTATTCATGAAAATGAGTTCTGGATCTGGTTACAAAAATAGAATTGCTTAGATTAGTGTATAAATTAACAAAGGCAGTACTTTGAAGGTGACTATCCACCAGTGTGCAGTTTCACATATGTGAAGCAAATAAGGTAACATAATTCGGAAAGAAATGAGGATTCTTTTCACACACAGAACATTTAATAACAGATTAGAGTAAAATAAAATAGTTGTTTAGTGCCACCTCATGCTAGTTAAAAACCAAGAAATTTTGCATCATTTAACTTTCAATTATAGTTACTTGGTGCCTTCCTGCAGTCAGAATCAGAACAAGAATCAAAAGTCGCCACCTTCACGTGGTACGACCAATCTGTCTTGTCATCGGCATCTCTTTCTCTAAGCTAAGCAGATGTTCTCTGTGTCATGTAGGACCTTCTGGTGGCTGCAAGACTTAACACTTCCATACTCCTATGCTTTTTAAAGGTGTAAATCTGCGAATTAAATTGTTACATTTAGCATGTACATTTCTTTAACAATAAATGAATATATCCCTAATATATATGTATATGTGGATAAAAAGATTTGAATACGTGATAGAGAAAAATTACATATTTGAATTCATTGTGAAAATTATATTCATATCAAAGCTTTTTCTTTTATATGCCTGCTCACATCCTGGTTTTCCCAATGCTATTTATTATGATGACTTACAGACTATATTTCAGTTAGTGGTTTGAGGTGGATTATTTGTCATTTATACATTCATTGCATTAAAATAAACATACCCACTACCTGAATTTATGGGAATACTGTGATTTTTGAATTGCGGTTGTAAATTGTAATGTGCATCTTGAAACAAATTCTTATCTCAGCAGTAATTTTTTTACTGTGGCAGTGAGTGGATATGTTTAAACATTTAATTTAATCTCTATCCAGTATAAATAAAATTGTAGGAACATAAATAATGAGTAATGTAAACATTTTCTTCTCCATTTCAGCCATTCGTAAAATTTGTATTTTTAGTAAATTATATGAACTCTCTGTTCATGAAAACTTGAAACAATATAAAAATTTTAATTTCAGTGTAAAAGTTGAATGACAAAACATTTGGTTGTAATTATGTGTGTAACTCAAAGAAGTGAACCAAGCTGTAACTTCGTGAAGTTTTTGAACATGTGAACAAATTCATTAATTTGGGATTGGGTTAACAATTAATATTTTGCTTTGTTCATAGACCATGATTTGATACATTTTAATATATTTAATTCCTTTAAAAGTGTATTATATGAAATGCAGAATTTTAATTTTTCAGCATGTATCTGTGCTTATAATTTTGTCATTCTCTGGCATCATATAAACACATTTTTTTTTTTTTCTTTGTAGGGGCTAGAAATAAATGCAAAAGATGCTTGGTCTACACATGCTTTAGCTCATGTTTTTGAAATGGAGGGGCGTGTAGATGAAGGTGTGTCATTTTTAAGAAATACCTTGGATGACTGGAAGGTAGCGACTATATCTTTAAACACTTCAAAAATATTTAAGCGTGTTTACATCTTACTGAACAGAGAAAATAGAGCATACAACATCCAAATTTTTTGCAGTTTTAGGAGTTTTCAAAATGTAGTTATTTAAGAGAATATTAAAAACTCTATTTTTATATCTTTAGTACTTTTTAACATGTCAACAGCAACAAGAAACTACTGCGAGGCAAGTTTAAACATGTATTTTCATGGAATCTTTTTTAGCTGATTTATAAATGATTTGATTTTGCTTTTTTCCATAGGTTTGTGGACTATTGGCTTGCCATAACTTTTGGCACTGGGCTTTATACCACATAGAAAAAGTAAGATTAATGCCACTGGTATTAATAAAATCATCATAACCTTTTTCTTTTCCTCCTTCTATTATGTGTCTTTGCAGCAGGAATAAGATTGCATGTAAATTGTATTTTTATGACATGTTTTAAATATTTAAATAATTTGTATTTAGTTCCAAAGAAAAATATTAAGCATGTTAACTTCATACCCAAGTGGGAATTCAGTAACCTCAGTTATAAATATACTGTAACTAATGTAATTGTGCCCTTTCTTGAAGTTAATGTCACATAGATCATTAACTCTTGTAACATATTTCTAAGGAATTTTTTTTTTTTGGTTAGTATTTATATTATGTTAAAGGACATTTTAGTTTGTTAGTATTTGTATTATGTTAAAAGACATTTTAGAATGCTCTGTATTGAATATTTTGAAATTTTTATCTTTTTACCTCCCGCCAACCTATATACAGGTAAGGGAGGTAGTGTTTTCAGTCCAAAAATTCGATAATGAATAAACATAAATTAATCTTCCACAACACATTTTTACTTGTTTTATGCATGTGACAACTTTTCCATACATGATGACTCTTGTATAAAACTTCTAAAAATATCTGATTTCCATATTTAAGCTTTCTGCGTTCATATAAAGAGTTGATTATATTTTGGTTAAAATTGGACACTTGGAGGTGGTTCTTGAAATGCGTAACAGATTTTAATGAAAAATTATTAAAATAGAATAAAAAATATTCAATATTAGTATTTAAAAGCTTTATATAAATGGAAGCAAGTTGTTAGATTTTGATTCTTGTTCTAAAATTTATCACAATTACTCAAATTAAAAAATTAGAATGGTTATAACAAATTAAATCATCATAATAATCTCCATAGTAAAAATATTTTTAACATTTCAAATTCACAATAAAATATTTTTGTTATTATAAATAATATTCCATAATTAATTTAACTTTTGAAATGGCAAAGTTTTATAAAAGATTATATTTATGTTAGCAATATATATGCAACATAATAAATATCTAGCAGTTTTCTATTTAATACCCTTATATTTTTTAATCATGTTAATTTAATTAGCTCTCCTTTACTTTGATATTTATATCATTAATGCTTGAACTCAGTGGGTGGTGTCAAACTCAGTTGCATGTGGGCTGAATGCACAGTCTGAAAGCAGCTGATGGACCAGAAGTTTTTTTTTAATAAAATAAGTTTAACTGAATTTTAAACTATAAAAATAATAAATATTTATCCAATATTTTGAAGAAGTTTTTACATACTTATTTCAAATAATTCTAAATTCTGAATTTAACCATCAAATAGTTTACTTATAATAAATTATGATAATTTCCTATGTGGGGAAAAACTTGAGAATAAATAATGACAACAGTTTTTTTATTCATAACATTTTACTTTGACCTATGAAAAGAAATGTATGTTTGAAATATAAATAATAATGAAAGTTTTATTTCTTACTACAACCTGACATATAATTTTGTCAATCCTAATAAAATTTCTAGCCTTGAAGAAAAATTAATAGAAACTATCTTCATCGCTGATTATGGATGCCTGTTGATCATTTTAGTTTTTTTTCTTAGACCTTAATTTTCTGTGATGTGAGTGCTGTTAACAGATGCTACTTAGAATGCTGCAAAACATATATTTTCTTCTTTTACCTGACTTTGTAAAACATTAGCGATTTTGTTAATATGTTCCACTATCGTATGTGACTGACAAATTGATATTTTTAAATAATTGCTGTTTGTCAGGCCATAGAAGTTCAGCAATCTTAAACAATTTTTTAAGGAATTTGCCATCATTAATTAGTTTTGAGCATTTTGCAATGATCAAGCAGAAAGCGAAATTTTGCATAAACTTTTGTTTAACAATTTATTTGCTTCTATAAAATTTTTTATTGTCATTATAAGCCAGATTTCAGGAGCTGTAACTATTCTTCCTTCAGATTACATTCTAACATTTCTAATTTCTCTCAAGTTGCTTTTAAACAATTTTAATTTTTTTGCTTTGTTTGCTAATGGTGATATAATTTGTATTCCTTTAGAACTAATATTCCCTTATTACAAATTTACACAGTTTTCGTTTGCATAATACCACAAAAGAAGATAATGTCTTTTATCTTGAAAAACACATCCTTCGTTCACTTTTAAAAAAAAGTGAATGAAGGACGTGTTTTTTAAGATAAAGTCTTTTGTTAAAGATGTAGCTTGAAGTTTAATCTCTTAATTGAAACCACTATCACAATTTTAATTCTAGAAGATAAATTTTCATATGAAAGCAACATTCAAAAGTTATGCACAATTCTAAAGGATATGCATTTATAAGCCATTTTGGTTTGTGTCTGTCTCTTTAGCAATTTGAACTGTGCAGCTGTGCATCCTGCTAACCAATTAGTGATTGAAGGAAAGTGCCAATTCAGTGGCAAAAATCCAGAAATACCAGAACACTGAAACCTTAGCAACTGCAGCTGGCAATCTGAATTTACTGATTTTACTTACACGAGAAGTTCTTGCACCTTACCACAGTCACATGATCTAGCATACTTGCCTACAGTGGCAAAGATAAAACCTCAATCGAATTCATTTTATTGTTTTCCTTTCAATAACAGTCTTGGAATAAGCTCAGCCCAAATCTTACTTCTCTGTAATGTTAAAACTATAAGAGCCAGATTTACAACAAACACACTATGGAAATGTGTTTGTGGGCCCTGAAAAATTGCTTGAGTGGCTGGAGGGTTGCTGTTTTGAGACCATAGTTTTAACTAATGGTGTTAACAATGGAGGAACAGACCTGCTTCAAATTTTGAAGCATGGTGTAGAATGTTACATGTTTTATTGCTTTCTTTTGTTTCAGCTCCTTTTCAATTTGTTACATAATAGTTTGTAAAATTATATCTTCTTTGTGGGAAATAATTATCTAAAAATCTTTTATCAGGGAGAGAGTGAAGCAGCTTTAGATATTTTTGATACTCAGGTTAGTGAAAGAATGAAATCAGGTGCAATGCTAGATATTGTGGATTCAACATCCTTGCTTTATCGTTTAGAATTAGCAGGTATTGTTCAGCTCTTTATTTTCCCCTTCTATTACATTTAGTTTTATATTTTTAATCTATGCATGTATAGGTATAAACATTTGTAATTTTTTTTATTTGAATATAATTTTGAAATTTTTATGCCTGTGTTGTATAAAACTTAGTGTATTTTATGGGGGATAAACAAATTTAAATATATGTTAAAATTTTTCAATGAACTGTATTTCATATTGCTGGCATCTTTTTGCCAGTTTGTAAAACTGAAAAATTTTCACAACTATTGTTTCGAAGATATCTGAGCAACTGTCATAAACTTGAGGATGTTAACAAAAATAGTTAGATGAGAACATATAAGAATTTTGTATTAGCTCTGGATAGCTGTCAGATGCAATATAAGTAGGCTTACCATATGTCCTGGTTTTCTAGTGTTGCCCAGGGAAGCAAAAATGTCCAGGGTTTGAGAATTCGAAACAAGTCCTGCGAAAATTTTGAAAATATAACGCTGATTTTTGTTGTTTGACTTCTGAATTAGTATTTATTCGGCGTGTTATTGTGTCTTAATTTTATGACTGGTGAGGGTTTTTTTCTCCTTTAATTTTAGACCTGTATGTTTGATCTCGCATTTTTAAAATTCTTTTACTTGTCAGCCGACCTTAGAGCAAGCATTGATGTCGATTTTGATGGAGGCTTGGCTACCGGTCTCTTCTAATGTTTTACTTAGTCATTTGGCAGCACAACAGGGGTAATGTGTAATAAAACTTGTTCTGATTGTTTTAAGATATTTCAACCTACAGGAGGGAATTCAAGTTAAGCTTTTAAATTTTGATGAAGTGCGAGGTGAAGCTGCTCAAATTTTGACTCAGTATCTTTTGCAGTGCTTGAAGAAATACAAACTTGATGATAAGCTGATTTGTTATACAGTCAAAAGTCGTTAATTCGGACACCCATAATCCGGAATGATCTATAATCCGGACCTCAAAGATACGAACTTTCTGTGCATGCGCCGCGTTGATGCATGGGTGTTTATGCGTGTGCATAAGACATTTATGGCTGCGAATATGCGTGTGCGCATGCGCATAATACGTTTACGAATGCGCATTTAATGTATAACGGATGGTATAAGCTAAGCTAAAATTATCTAATTCAGTTAATGTTGCAGATTGCGTTGTTCCTTAATCTTCGAATTGGATCCGGCTTATTATTTTTTGCAGACTGTTAGAGCAACTTTATAAAAGTAAGCTTGAACTTTCGATTATGTCAAATAGAATTTTCAATATATATTTACCTAATATGTAAAGGATCTACAAAGCAAAAGTATGTTTCGATGTCCATTAAATAGAAAGTGGAATTGCTGCAAAAAATGGATAAAGGCATATCCTTTGATTATCTAATTATTCCGAAATATGTTTATCAATTTCACGCTGCTCTGCAGGGGGAGGGAAACGACGCGACGCGCAATGAATTTGAAGTTGATCAGTCAGCACTATCCTTATCTTCAGGGCAGATGTTTTTATTTTATTTGGCTTGTAATTCCTTACTAAATGTAGTATTTCATCTCGATGTACTCCATCTTTGATATGATTTAAATCAAGTTCCTCGTTATTATAATTCGCTTCCGATAGTGAAGCAAGTGACACAGAGGTTATTGAAAACGAAAAAATTTCGAATGACGAATTAGTCGGTATTCGACACAGCAATTATAGGACTTGAAACAGCGGAACTTTGTAACTGAACAAGAAATTATGTCTGTTTATAGAATTAAACAGAAAGTATTATCACATAAAAAATGAAGCAACTTAAACAACTTACATTTAAAGAAATGTTTAATAAAATAAACAAATAAATATTAAGCTCTTTTTTTTGTAAATTTCGATACCCTTTAGATCATAATTGTTCTTTAGTTCATGAATTACGGTTTCATATTTTTAATTTTATAATTTCTGCATGCCATCTTACCAGATTTAAACTGATGATCTATAATCCGGAATCGCCGAAGTCCCGACGAGTCCGGATTAATGACTTTTGACTGTACTGCCAATAACACTAACAATAATTTTAGTGGTGTGAAGAAAAAGAGGAACGAAAATGTGTTCAGAAAAGTTCAAAATGATTTAGATAAATTTATTTTAGGAATTAATTGTTCATCCCACATTGTACATAATTCTATACAAACAGCATGTGATTCTGTACTCCTGGACATAGAAGTTATTGTTATAAAAATTTATAAATGTTTACTCATATAATACACTAAGAGTAACAAAGCTTAGAGTTCTCTGAATTTGTGGAACTAGAATATAAAAGTATTATTTCATAGCAGCACAAGGTTCTGTAGTTTGTTACCTGTAATAGATAGAATTCTTTCCGTTATTAATGCCCTAAACTCACACTTCCTAACTTGGGACAAATGCTCAAAATTATTATTTTATTTTTTTAAATCTAGGAAGTGAAATTTTTATATGGTACTCTACAGTTATTTAATTACGTAGTTCTGAAATTGAATGGTAATTCTATCTCAGCGACATAAGCATTTCAGACATATTCTGAATTAATTTGTCAACTTCAGGGAAGAAAAACCCACAGATTTATACCATCTTCTGCCAAAGAATTGCTGTGCACTGTAAAAGAAAATAGTAATGTTTAGGAACAAAAATTCTTCTCAAGTGTAGACACTTTGTATAATTCTAGTATCCAATACTTAGAGTTATGGAAAACCAGTTTTGATAAAGTTAGTAAGTTTCATTGGATAAATTTATGAACTAAAACTGCCTGCTCAGATTTAGAAGGGAATGCACAAGTTGTTAATGACATTATAAAAGATTCTATAAATATTGATGACTTGCTTGATGAACATACATTGTTCAACCCGGTAATTAGAAACCAAAGGGTAGGTTGTGGGTGAGGCTCTGAAAAAGTGCCAGATACTATTAAAGAGAAGTGGAAAGCAATTTTAAAGGTGTTTCAAAATACTGATATTTCATGTTGCAATGTTTTTAAAATGGTTGAGTTTGCAATGTCTTTGCCTGGGACGTGTGCTTCAGTTGAGAGAGTTTTTTAAATTATGGGGAACATTTCGCCTGCAGAAAGGGGTAGAATTTCAGTATCTACTGTTAAAACATCTGCTAAATGTTAAAATTAATTCAGAAGTTTCTTGTTGTGAATCTTATGGTGTAATTAAACAAGCCATTTCTGGAAAAAGTCATGTCTAGTGAAAAATACTACTGAAATAAAGTGTAATGTTTTAGTAAACAGTTAAGATTTTTAAATAATTTCAAAAATATGTCCTGGGTTGGACCCTAAAAGATATTTTGTGATAGCACTGGATAGCAGGCAAATGCATTTATGCTTATCTTAACTGTAATTAATCTTTTCTGTGAGGTTTTTTTCAAAGGCTACCAGAAATACTGGAGCATAGTACACAGGATATCTGAAAAAGCTGGCTGCAGGCTTCATTTAATTAATTACTAATTCTACTGCATTTCAGTGTAAGATCTTATTTGAGTTTTTTTGTAGTTTTCTCCATGTGTAATGTAAATGTATACCAATTTCCATTAGAATATCTTCTTGAAAACATTCTTCCATATACCTTAGTGTTGCTATCATGTAATCATATTACTTAATGTTATTTTAGGACTATTACTGTTGCTCAAATAATGTCTAATTGTTTGCTAAAGTGTCTACAAGTGGTAGTTCTTAGGTAGCTCTATCTAGATTTTTATTGTGCTTGTGAAATATAGGTGAACTGCTAATAACATTGCATTATTTTTATTCATGGTGATAGTCCTTTCTTCTTGGAGCAGACGATTAATACTTATTCATTTCTTGGAGATGTCGTTCATCTAAATGTGGTAACACATTTTGATATTTATGCCATAAAATTCTAGCAACACTTACACAAATATTGTTGAGAACTGTCTGTGAGAGTCATTACTCTTGCTGCAACTAATGTGCAATCAAGGAAGCTTTCTTAGATTAGCTTTCTTTTGCATTCTAAGTGTTATTGTTAAAAATAGAAGAATCTACCTTCACATTTTTTGTACATTATGAGATAAATGTTTTTTTTTTCAGGGGGGGTAGTTAATATATTGTGCATAATACTTAAATTACAGTGAAAAGAGATTGAATTTTTTTTTAAAGCTGAAATCCAGAAATTTTAACCTTGAAGATGTGCCATGCAGGGGATGGCTTTTAAATTTTATCATTTGAAGTGAAATAGTTCTGTACAGCATTTGCAGTGAGCAGAGTTTGGAATGAGCATCATCTGTTAACAAAGCTAAAGCAGTTTGGAGTTTGTTATTCTCTTTCCTTGTAGGGCAGGGGGAGGGAAAGATTTTTGAAATAGATGGAGACTTGTAATGAATAAATGAATGGTGGACAATGTTGAATTCAATGTCTAGGTGAGAATGACTGCCATCGGTATATTCTGAAACCTTACCTCTAACTAATACAGATTTTTCGTTAAGATTTTTTTAGCTCGGTAGAAATTTAGCGATACAGTGAAAATATCAATGCAGCATTATGCATTATTGAATTAGAATCTATACCATTGAAATCTCTGCTGGTCTGTTTGTGGCATTATCTCCTCCAAAATGGCAGGGAGTTGAGTTTCGAGAGAGGTATCCCACGATTTAACCATTCTCATCTTCGTGCAATGGAGATATTAGTTAAAACGTCTGAAAACTAATTTTCACCCTCGTTTTTATGAGTGGCAACAGCCTCGCATGCTGGAAATAAAAATCTGCTTTATTTCAAGAAGTGTTGCCACTGCTCGCTTTCAGATCATAGTTTGTTGATAAAAAAATTTTAAGTTTTACAGAATATGAAGTAAAAATAGCATTGCAAAACGAATATATTATTCCCGATTACAAAAATTTGTGGATTCGATTACAAAAATACATTTTGACTGTTCCCATCTTCATACAACTTTAATCAGCCGAGCTATTAATTAAAAATTCTGAAAACGCTTATTTTTTCTGAGTGGCAGCAGGCTCGTGCATTGGAGATAAAGATGCTTTATTTCGAAAAGTGTTGCTACTGCTGGCTTTCAAATCATAAGTGTTTGTTAATCAAAAATTTGTAATTACAAAACATGAAATAAAAATAACATTGCCAAACATTAAACATATTATTATATTAGGTCATATTCTGATGTTGAGGAAAGCACACGATTGCATGTCACGCCACCGTATGTTGAGAATTGTTCATTAATGACAGCATTTAAAAGAAATAACTACTGTTGGCAACTTTTTTTGTTTCAGGTTAATATAGTTGACATGATATATTATTGCCATGTTAATTCTTTTATTAATAATGAGAAAATGTTGTTATATTACTTTAAATTTAAATCATGAGGTCATACATATTAACCGGAAGTGTGAGTAATTTTTATATTCTGCTTCATCACATCAATAAAAAAATTATTTATGAACTGGTTGTTGCTTGAAAAGAATGAACTAATTTCTTTCATGTTGAAGTGTTTTTATACATTTGTTTTTCAGTGGACATAGAACTTACATATTTTGCTTTGGCTGCAGCCCACTAGTTTATCCTTAAAAAACGAAAAGCTAAGCAGTAAGTTTATAATAGAAATGGGTCTATTTTTTCCCCCAATACTACTGAAATAAAGTGTAATGTTTTAGTAAACAGTTAAGATTTTTAAATAATTTCAAAAATATGTCCTGGGTTGGACCCTAAAAAATATGTTAAGCCTAAATATATTTTGTGATAGCACTGGATAGCAGGCAAATGCATTTATGCTTATCTTAACTGTAATTAATATTTTCTGTGAGGCTTTTTTCAAAGGCTACCAGAAATATTGGAGCATAGTTGTAGTAGCATATCGGAGCATTAGTTGTAGTAGAATGCATTCATAAACTTGATAAAACTGCAGTAGTTTAAGTTAAAAATTCTGCTTCATTTTCCATATTCTAACGTATGCCCAACTGCTTGCTATTACATTCATTCTTCAGAAAGCAAAGAAATATATATATATATATATATATTTTTTTTTTTTTTTTTTTTGAGGTCAAGACATAGAAATTGCTCATCACAAGTTTCTCGGTATGCATGCACAATACACTCTTGTCACCTGTTTAGACTAAAAGTATTGAATGAATGGAAAGTTTTGATTGGCAGTAAAATGTGGTAGAAATTTTTTTGATGATTAAATGCTTGTAGTGTCATTAGTTCTGAGGAGCTTCAAATAGTGTTAAAGTGAATGTCACTGCTTCAGGTCTTTTTCAAGTTTTTACATTTGCAGTTACTAGAGAGCTTTTTTTTATTCATAGATGTGCATTTATAGAACTGAATTTTTTAGAATTGTGTGGAGCATCTGCTAGAGCTGTTTAGAAAAATCAAGGTATAAAACGAAGTGACAGTCAACAGAGAATTGAGCAACATTTACAAAATCAGAATTCTTCAGTTTCATTGCACTTAGCTTATTATGCAATATGATATGAGATTCTTTTTATTTGCTGGATTTTATTGTTACTGAAATAAAGGCATTTGTTTGCTTTGATACTGTAATTGAACCTTTATATATTATTACATTGCAGATTCAATTTTATTAGGATCTGAGATGATAGTGAGAATATTTTCTTAGTATACTTGAATGTTTTAGCATAATGACAAAATATTGTCAGGAAATTGAGATTAGTTGTAGTAGTTAGTTAAAATTAAAAAACATTAGTTAAAATGATCATTTGTCCTGGTAATTAGAATAATGTCCTGCTTCAATATTTGTCCCACAAAATAATGCAGATTTTGTAATTCGCATACATTTTATTAGTGTTGTTTTCTTGAGTAATGCAATCAGGAATACATTATCTATCATCAAGTAATCATAAGTTTCAAGTACACAATTTTGGAAACTTGTGACATCTGCCAAAAGAACATCTTATGAATTTTTTATTTCTATTGAAACTGCATTTTATTTTTGGAAGAATTGATAAGGTGGTTAAATCATGTATAGAATTCTAAGTAGATCCATGGAAAATCCTGTAGAATAAAAACATGGGGAAAAGTTTAATTTAGACAAGACAATTTTTGACAAAGTCATCTGATAACAAATATTCAATGACTGTTTTGTATTTGAATGAAATTTTGAAATGTCGTGAGTCTTTCTCCTAATTTAAATGTTTGATTCACTAAAATGAAACTTAACACTGCTTAACATGCATAAAAAGTGGAACTTGGATGTTAAGTGTTGGTGAAAATATACAAGAAGGAGGGGGAATACTGAGGTTTGTACCAACCACTTTATTTATGTAAATGTGAGTGTCTATAAATGAAAAAGTGCAATTGTATGTATTAACTGTAGTTGAAAATGAGTTTCTTTAGTTGCAGATGCGTTAAAAAAAGTTTATTTCTTCCTTTTTCTGTTTTAAATGTGAAAAGCTCAGCTGCTAGTAATCAAAGTAGTATTTAATGAAGCAATTTTCATGTATTTCAGGAAAAACTCTTCTTGTTTTAGTATCTTTTAATATTTCATAAGTAACTGAATATTCCTGTGTCAGGAATTAAAAGTTGTTTTATTCGTGTATCTTCTTGAATCATATGTCTCTTATTGTTGATTACCAAAAGTTCATGAAACTGAAATTTTGCTATATTATGTTGTGCAATTATACATTTAGTTTCATTTCTTTCTTTCATTTAAAATTTTTGTCCGATATTTTTTTTCCAGGTGTTAATGTTGGTGATAGGTGGAAAGAAGTCTTTGATTTATGTCGTCCACATTTTGATGATCATATTTTGGCATTTAATGACATTCATCTGTTGTTATCGAGTGTAGGAGCTAAAAATAAAGATGCTACGGATTATTTAATGTCATCTATTCAAGACTTCATCAGGTGAATAGTAGTTTTGTTTATAGTATTATGTATAAATATAATATGCAGATAAATTTGTATCCTCTGAAGAATACTGAACTTTATTTATTATTTTTATTTTTATGGCTGCAAAAATGATAGTAAAAGTGTTCTGTGATATTTAAGAATAAAATTTAAAATGTGAAAAAGATTTAAAAAAAAAAAAAAAAAAAAAAAAAACTTGATTTATCTCAAATTTTCTGTATTTGTCTCATAAAGAGTGTGATAATGTATCACTTCCAAGATGTTGATTATTTTTAAGATTGTCATTGATTGTGATCATTCAGGATCTTTCTTCAGGCATTATTAAAACTTTATTGCCTAAGTGTGGGAAAATATGTTTGCAAACTTAAAATATATTATACTTTCATAAAATTAGGCAAAGTAACCTCATATTTTGTGCAGATTTTAGTCAAGACTATGATATTAAGGGCAAACAGGTATGGTCTCTCTTTATCAGGAGCAAAGAAGCTCAATAGGGTCTTGATTAAAATCGACACCAAACATAAAGCTGTTGCTTTGCCTAATTTTGTGTTTTACTTTGGTGTGTTCCTCTTCTGTCTAGATATTTTATTTTGTTTGTTAATAAGGTGAAGACATAAGAGATGTAATTAAATATGCTGTTTAGTCTGTCTATAATAGTCTGCATTCATGCTGATTTTAAAAGAATGATTAAATATTATTAGATTATTTTATTAGTATTCTGTTTCTGTTCATATCTGTTTTTGACAAATTGGAAAAAAAATCTTCATGTGAAGAAAACTCAGAATTACTTTAAAATGTAGTATTTCTCCCCATTCTTGTTGCAGATACTTTTCCTTTTCAATGTGAGCTTCAAAATGGGTTTGTCTTCCATTCTTTGTCTATAAATTTATATTTATGTGGTTATAAAAAAGTAAAATTTAGTTGATGTGGAAGCCATGTTTTGTAGCCAGCTTTATATACTTTCATACATGAATATTTTCTTTGATGGTATGAAAACCATTTTACAGTCCTCAGCACTGTTTTTGTATACCGGTTACTGAATTTCAGTGAGCTCTATAATTTCTATTTCCAAGCAGTTTTAGTTTTCTCTAGAGGTTTCATCTTAGAAAAGATGATTATTGATGGTGGTGGTTGTAAATTTGTGACATAAGCTTAAATTGTTCAAGGCTTTTGAAGTTTGTTAAATTGTGGCATATTGGTTTATTATAAGTGATATGCTAATAAAATTAGAAATTATTTACAAAAGTAAGTTGTGAGTAATGTAGCACCCCTCAAATTGGTACTTTGTGATATCCACAGCCACAGTTTCAGCACTTTAAAAATTGCCATGCATTTGGTGTAATTTTGAGTATAAATGCAACACCAGCCAACCCTCACATGTGCTTTGTTGAAACTTGGAATTGCATGCTTTATATTTGTCATTACACTGAAAAGTAGCTACCTGCTATGAAAATATAATAATAGGCCATATAAATTTCTCAAATTTTCTTGTTTCATATAAGATACTTTTTTTTATTATTGTTTATAAACACAGTAACTGAGCACGTTTCTCCCCACCCCCTAATCCACAAAATTGGCAGGGAGTCTTTCCATTGGGGTGCAGATAATTATAAAGTACTAAGAAAATCTTTTAAGTGAAGCAAAAGGAATTAAAAAAAAAACTTTCATTGTAAATTTTATTAACCTCAGAAACAGTTGCTGCTATATCCATGAAATATCTGTACTTTATTTTGTCTTTTTCTGAAATATGCTGCTGGCTATTAAAATTGCAGCACCATGAATGAAAGCAAATACAAAAGAGATATTTCTTCTACATAAACAGTATGGCAAGATTAAATTTGTAAGCAGTTTGGGGATTTACAGAGGTGTGAAATTAGTAGAAACAGCTGTCACACTTGGCAGCTAAAATGATCCTTACCCTGTTAGGCATGGAGTCAAAACTGGACTTGGATGACAGAAACGAGCGACTCTTTCCATGCCACTTCAGATCTATGCCACACTTCATCAATCATATTAGCTGGAGAAGGGTGGCGGGCCAGTTTCTCAGCAACCCATGACCAGATGTTTTCAGTGGGTGATAGATCTGGAAAACGTGCAGGCCAGGGCAGTGGGATCCTGACTATAAGGACAAGTTAATAGTTTTTTTCCCTTTTCGCTATTGAATTCATAGTGAAATATCTGTTTTCTTATGGATACATTGCATTTGCTGAATGTTTTGGTATAAAGTTTTATTACAAATTAATGAATTTTTGTAATATTATTACTGAAACCATGTAATATAGCTTCTAAGTTATTTGTAATTTGCCTGTTTTAATTTTTTTTCTTCCGTTGTTTTAAAATATACAAATAAAACCTTTCCGGCTGCATTCTTTGTGTTAAAGTAGGCCATACCAAGGTGAAATATTAAGTTATAAAATTTTCAGAAGTGGAATAAAAACCAAATGGAAATCTCTGTAAAATGTTTATTATTACCTGCATGTTAAAAAAAAAAAAGCAAACATAGCAGTTATTTTATGTAAAATAAACTTACTATTCATGCATATTTGTGTGAAAAAGCCAACATTACAGGGGGAACTGTAATCCCCCCCCCATCTTTTTCCGTGTGTGTGTGTGTATATATAGTACACACATACTTTATTTTTGACATTGGTGATTTTTTGCATGTAATGAATGTATTATGATTTTTTTTGCATATAATTCATCTAAAACTGTATTTTTTATAGAATCCTATAGTAAAAAAAGTAGGTAGTTTGTGGACAGTTTTCCGAACTGTATGGAGCTGAGAAGTGATTCATTAATAAATTTTTCAAGTCTTGCCTCTCTCTGTATATATATATATATATATATATAATTAAAGCAATAAATTAATACTTTGCAAAATTTGTTGTAAAAAATGAAAGAATGTACTAAGTTGGATAATATGCAATATTGTGAGAAAAGAAAAAAAAAAAACTGCTAAAAGTCTTTGGCTAAAAATTACTGTAGTTGATGGTATAAAAGAATCAGGTGAAAAATAAGACAATTAATTATGTACCTAATTAAACAAATTCAGTTGAAGTTGAATTGTAATTGGCCTTCACACACTGAACCATTTCCAGGAATGCCCTCTAAGCTCTCAAACAAAAGTTGCAGAGTGTTTATGTTATGAAATGAATGTCGCAGCTTTCATTGTCTGATCTGTGCTAAACTGTCCTTTTAAATTTTGCGAGGTTGCCGCCCCAACAGAAAAGTGGTTAGTGTCTCTGACTACCGTACCTAAGGGCCTAACTTCGAATCCCGGAGAAGGCATGGATGTAAATTGTCTGTCCCTTCATAGGAGGCAATGGGGGCCCACCTATTAGATTCTTCAATAACAATGTGACCATCACTTCCAGCCTTAGTAGTAGCCAATGCCGGTAATGGCTAGTGCTGCCGTTAGCAGGGAGAATTTTTATGAGATCTGCATTGTTCAAGGATTGTTGGAACAATGTGTACATCTTTTTTTCAAAGCTTTCATAGCCTGATATGCCATATATCTTAGATACAGCCTAATATGGCATAACCCCAAATTGAAAACATTCTTCATAAGAAAGGTCATCATTTGTGAAGTTCCCCTCTTCAAATAATAAATGTGCAGAACAATAATAATTGTGATTTACTCTTTGTTTCTGTGGATACAAAGCTGTGTTCACAAACAGAGATACAAAGCTGTGCTGCAGCTGTGTTCTGCGGGTATCGAAAAATAAAATCAACATTAACTTATTTGAGGAACCAGATATCAAAAATGGAATCAAAAATATGACAAGGCTTGCAGATGTGGAACTACGAAGAAGCAAATATGGAAATGTGACTCTTCAACTTGTTGAAATGCTTGGTAGTACTGAATATAATGGAGCTTGTATTTGTTCACTGAAGGCAGCACCCAGCCGTATGAATAAAATAATTTTTTTCAAGTAACTATTGACTTGCTCCAAAGCATTCATCAGGGATGGCCAAAACAATTTGTCGTTTAGCTATCTGACCACGAAGTATGTTGATGTTACCTAGAGTTTACCACAGTGGTAGACAGATACACACTTGCAAGAGGGGAAATCACATACAGGCAATCTTTACACAGAAATCAGAGCCATCCCTTGGTTTAGTAGTCAGCCTCCATTAATTAATATAGTGTCCAGGGTGGCACAAACACATGATGTTCTTATATTTTTAATAATATTGCGATATTTTAGTACACCAACAGTAAGTTTATTTGATGATTCATAAATGCGTTTGCAGTCCTTAAATTCCTTCCACTATTTAAATGCGGCAAATCTGCCTGTCTCTTCTTTCCCATAGTTTAGTTTGATAATTTAAAAATATTTCTAGGTGTACTTTTGCCTAAACTGATAAAAAATTCAATAAAGTTTTTTTTTCCCTACTGGTGTCTTTTTATCCACCATTGTAATGCTAATTGAATTTCAACTTTTATAATGAACAAATGAGTGATCATCGCTTTTCAGCTGTTTACATTATCAAGGCATGATGCAGACTATCCTTATGACCAAGAATCACAGAGTCATTCAGCAGAAGTGATGCAGTGCTTTCAGTCAACAAAATATGCCAACAAAATTACCTTCAAAATAACCCTCATAAAACAATGTATTCCATGTTATGTCTAGTAGCCAGATGGTCTATGAATCTTATAGCAGCCAGGTGACACACTGGGAAATGACTGTTTGGTCTAGAAGTTTGTTTCTGACAGCAGGATAAGCTGAATAGATATTTTAACAGTTTTTTTTTTTTTTTGCCATAAACAGGTATTGACAGGTGTTAAAATTTGCAGAATATTTCTGAGTTTTCTGTAATTTTAGTGTGTGAATCAAATCATCTACTTATTATTATCAAAAATATTATTTCATCCTTTAAAGCTTGTCAGATACAATTTAATGATCTAATTCCAGTGTATGCTTTTCAGAATTTTGAAGCAAAAATAAGCAACTCATTTGAATGAATTAAGGAATTCTTGAGTGCAGTTTGCCGTGTGAGGTCAGGCATTGTCATGCAAAAACAAAATTTTAGACGTCAAATTTCCTTGGTGCTTGTTTTGAACTGCTCTTCTAAGGTTGCGCAGAGTTTGACAGTACGGCTCAGAGTTTATTGTGGCACCATATTCGAGAAAATCAATCAGAAGCACACCTTCCCTATCCCAAAACAGAGTCGCCATAATCTTTGGCGAAAAGGTTTAGCAAACATTTTCTTGGTCTTTTGGGGGAACTTGTGTGCCCCCACTGCATGTACTGTAATTTTGTCTTGCAATTCATGTGTCTCACCCACGTCTCTTCACCAGTTACGATTAGATACAGTAATGAATCACCATGTCTGTTGTACGCCTCCAGAAATGTCAAAGCTGCCCACATTTGACCTTTATGATGGTCTGTAAGCAATTTTGGCACCCATCTTGCACAAAATTTGCGGTAGCTTAACTTTTGTGGGACAATTTCAAACAACAAAGTCCATGAAACTTGTGAAAAAATAAGCGAAAGCTCCGTTATTGTGAAATAGTGGTTTTCATGAATCTTTTCATCAACTTTAGCAACCAGTTCGTCAGTCACAATGTGTGTCCACTTTTCTCTTCATCGTGAATGTTAGTTCGGCCATTTTAAAACTGAATACACCATTTCCGGATTGAACTTTCATTCAGTATGTTGTTTCCGTACATTTCATGCACTTGCCTATAAATTTCCATAGGTTTTTTTGCCTACAAAAACCGTATCGCAGACCGCACCTCACAACTGGCGGGATTTTCAATTGCAGCGCACATTTTAAATTTTAATATCGGAAAACAGGCAGTGTGAAAATGTTCCCATTGTGATGGCTGGACGCCGTATGAGATGCCGAGCATGCAGACCCCAAAATATACATGATTGGTGCGTGACATATACGGCTAGCGACATCAGATGGAAACGTTCCTTACTTTCTGAATAACCCTCGTATATAAGTTGCATTTATACATATAGTATAGTGGGTGAGTCTGTAGTGTGTACCGTGTTATTTCAGCATTAAAGTCTGTTCTAAAATCTATTTATTGAAACTTGTTACAGTGCAAATTCTGAGATCCAAAATTGTCGGTAGTTCAGCAATATTGGATTTTAGATCATGAGTAAGATGACATGCCAACATTGGGGCTTTGCTTATTGCCTAGATTAGAGAAATGCCAACCCCAACAGGGTCGACGGCAGAGCCAGTGCAACTGCACCTGCTGGCATGGTAAGAGGTGGCAGAAAAGTTGGAATTGAGACAAGTACCAAGCAGCAAAAGTCAGAGATCGCAACATTTTCTGACTTTAGGAGAGGCACTGAGCAGTAGAATGTAGAAGCAGAAATTTGTCTAGAATTTAGGGAAATATCAGGCACCAGAACTTAGGAACTGCAGAGATTACATCGGGCTGTCAAATGCATAGCCCTCTGCCTCTACAGCCATTCAAGGGCTGTGTGATTTTGGCTAACATCAAAGTACTCAAGGGCTATCAGTCGAAAGGAAGGAAAGCCTTCTTAGAGTACTTTCTAAGGGAAACTGGCTTGTATACATGTTACACATGGCGAAAACCATGAAAATACCTATGGATTTTAACGTCGGACTAAACAACCAGTGTTCGGTGACATTATCGCTCGGCCACTGGTGGATCTCTTAGATGGGAGGAAAATTGCATTTACGGCCCACCTGCTTCTTTTTGTTGAGTATTGTTGTCTCCATTTCTAGATTTTCTGAGAGGGGAGCGAAGTTTCCTTATTATTGTATTGGCTGGCTAGCTGAAGGTCTGGATTTTAGACTTTGTCCTGTATATATTTTTTCTTATTGCTTAGAATTATATTTGAACATTTAATTATATCAGTCATCTGTGATTTAAAAACAATAAGAAAGAGGCTTTTATTTGATGTATTACAGTATTGGATTTTATGTAACCTGAAATATTTGGTTTACTCAAAAGTTTAGTTAATTGTTTTAAAATCAGTGAATTAAGAGAAAACACATGATGTCTATGTCTTGGGAAAGAATCTTTTGTGGGAAGCATTTAAAAAAGACTGTATCACATACATTGCAAATTGTGCTCATGTAAACAATAAAAGCACACTTGCGATCAGGTGTTTCACTATGAAGTTAGTTATGTGTACAATTAACTGTGTTCTTCCCCCTTTGATTATGGTAGATTTCATTCAACATAGGATTATATATGATTATGCTCATGTAATATTAGGTTCTTAATGCCTTCTAGTGACATTTGTTAATGACTTCTTTTATTTATTTATTTTTTTTAAATTTTATTTTATCTGTAAAGGAGCTAAATTTCTGATTGGTGCTTTTAATAATTCTTATTTTATTTAACCTAATAGTTTTAAAATTCCTTTTCAGTAATGGCCATGGAATAAATCACACAATAACTAGAGATATAGGTTATTCCTTATGTGAGGCTATTGTTGCATATGATGAAGGTCGTGTTGAAGATTGTTGTGACATTCTGTATCCTTTACGATATAACATTGTACAAATAGGAGGCAGCAATGCTCAGGTATTTATATATTAGGAAATTTTTGTTGTCATTTTGTGAAATTCGTCAAACATATTTTTTAAATAAAAACATTATTAATGTGGAGCTCATACTAGTTATTACTTGATCAAAAATATTCAAGTCCCTTCTCATTTATATTATACATTTCTAAGAATGGATATAGTGATTTATTTATTATTTAAATATAAACTATAAAAAATTATTTTTATACATTTAAAGACATTTTTATAAAACAATGTAACCTAATCAACGTCACAGTTTTCCATGTGTGAGGTTGATTATGCTACATTATTTTATACGAGCATTCGTATCGAGGATGACTGGGATTTTAAGTGATATTAATATTTTTAGTCTAGCCTTTTTTTAATCAAGGCTGTGCAGGCCAGTCAAAACAACTGTTCCATGGGTTACCAGCCATCCAACTTTTCAATACTGCTTTTAAAGTCCGGCTGGTATTTAAAAAAAAAATAAAGGTCCAACTTTTTCCATAACAAACTCCTTTTTTATCATCTGATCAATTGCACTGTGGCTGAAAGCCCACTTTGACTGTGTTACAAACTGTAAACCTCTGGCTACATTTTTTTTTTCACAAAAGAGCTTCTTATGCAGTCATGCTAGTGCATAAATATGCTAACAGTCGAAGCATCCAGTATCTTGATTCAAAATATAGTTAAACTGATAGTGTCTCAATATTTTTATTTTTTCATACTGGAAGTGCATTAATTGGACATTAGCAATTGGAGTTTTCATGTTTTTTCATGTTTCATATGTTTGTTAAGGGTTCATATGTAGGGACTTTGAGATTAATATAATTGTATCTGATTGCGTCCTCTAAAGTAAGTCGTCTTCTAAAGTAGTAAGGAATGAGAGCAGAAAATGAACAGTGCAGGTTCTCTGATAAATTGAAAGGAAAGCATCCATGCTTTGTATTCAGGTGAAATTAAAGTGTGCAAAATGCGAAGGGTGTGTAAGTTATATTTATATGGGATACAAAGGTTGTAGTGACTAAAAAAGAAGTCTGAACTGCAAAAAACATGAAAAGATGGTAAGTACCATTTCTACACCTGGTTCAGTGTTTAATTTTGTAACTAAAATTTTATGCGAGCTAGGAAAGCTCAAGCCATTGAAGTTCTGCTGTTAAATTAAATACTAAATTAAATAAATTGTTGCCAAAATCTGAGGTAGCACACAATTTGGCCTGTACTAGAGCTAAAACAGAAACCATTAAAATAATGTAATTGCTCCTTATACTGCGGACTTTCTGAAAGTCACATATTTTGGCCTCGTAGTAGACAAAAGCAATCATGATGCATTGAAAATGCTCCCAGTTGTAATAAAATATCCCAATTATGAAAGAAATGACATTCAAAATTAGGTTCTTGACTTAGAAACTTGGCTTAATGAAACTTCTAAAATTATTGCAAACTACACCACAGATACTTTAAAGAAGCATAAAGTTACATCTAGATGAATTGTTTTGTTAGAGATGAAACAAATGTTCAACTTTCGTGGTTTTGTGCATGGGGCCAAGAAAATGTATATTTTGATCTGAAAGACTTAGAAAAGCATTGTAAGAGTTATGTGGCCTGTGCTATGTTTTACACAATTTGTTATGAAAGTATTCACCATTTTTCATGTGAATGTTAACACATGAAGTAATTTCGATTATTTTTGAAAATTTAAGGAGGTAAATTTATGGCTTTCAGATCACTTCAGAACCAGATAACTAATTTGTATCCAGCGGTTGAAAAGATTCTGTAGCACTTAAATCCTACTTTTTCTGTCTATATAAAAAAACATGTGCCTTCAGCTCTAATGAATTTTCTACAGAATGATTTTTTATAGCAGTATGTTCTGCTTCTTTTCCTAACTGCGCACATTTTACATTATAAATTATATCTATTCTGAAGTAGACCTCTACAAATGAGTGTGTTCTAACTTACTTGAAAATCAGACTTGAGAATTAGTCCATTCCTTCCAAAGGCAGCTTTAAATTCATATTCCGAAGATTGCTGGGGAAAGCATGCAGCTTGTTTATGGAAAATGTGTTTTGCTTTTAAGAAACGTGCATTGAATGCTTGGAGGAATGTATGCATCTTAAGGAAGAATTCATTCATTTGACTTAAACTAGAAGACCTGAAGGAATTCGCATTGAGTACATTCTCCCATGTATTCAGTGTTGAAAAGATAAAAGATCTTTAAAGAATCTAAAAGATATGAAAGTAAATGATTCAAAATTAGTCGACCAGTTCTGCAATGCTGAGAATTAAGCTGGAAGTTCAATGTCTGGTAAAGACTCTGCACTAGATCAACAAAGGTCTTCTTTCTTTAAAAAGTGCCAGATTGTTGAAAATTGAAAAAAATTTTGGAACATCTGCCAATTCTTTTCCATTCCTGGCAATAATTCATCTACTGAATGTGTGTTTTCCCTGATGATTGCTCAATGACCCCTCCAAAAAATGCAGTTAGTTGATCAAGGTGGGAGAATTCTACCGGATAGGTGCAGTTTCACGGAAATGACTTACGAGAAATTTTACAACTATGATCTTCAAGAAAGCAATTCAACTCTTCTGTCAGGGATATATTCTGTACAGAATATAGTTCCAAAGAAAGCAGGACTAGCAAACACTGAAATAACGTCGAGGTAGTTGAGTGTGTGAAGTATTATTGTTTCGTATTTATAATTAGTTGTTAGTATTATCACAGATTATTCTTCATTACTTTAAGATCATAATGTCAAAGTAGAGATGCATATTAGCCCATTGTATAAAATTAAATTGTAAATAATTTGCCCATTCAAAATAAAATCAAGCAATGTCCACCATGTGAAAATACTGAATTGCAGCCATATCATTGTATTAGTCCTTTTTTTTTCATTTTGTTGTGAATAAGTTTCCATGTAGTTGGAGGGAAAGATTTTCAACAGATTGCTGCCATAATAATACTTCTTGTTAATATTACTTCTCTGTGGTGATGATGCCATAATCCAGTTCTTTGTTGTAAAAAATTTAGAAAGTAAATATCAGGTTTAAGCACTTGCTCTATGACTAAACTTCACGGTTGCAGTGCCGTTCACTACAATATAACAAGTGCTAAAGTGCCTCATTTACGCCACTCCATGTCTGCGAGTGCAATCCAGAGCTGTAACTCGAGATCTCATTGTTAGGCAACATGTGCACCACGTTATTTTCATTTTTGCGATAAATGCCTATTGACGTGGTGTTTACGTCGCTCACGGTTTGAGACAAAAGCATCTTGACATGCTTGGCACATCTTTTTAGCACAAGTGGTTAAAACAAAAAAATTGTGGTAATAACTTTATAAACTCTTGTCAAAAATTGCTAATATTGCCTTGGCAGAAAACATTTCTGCCTTTAGTAGTAGAATGCATGAAGATACCCTGAAGTCAGTGTCAAAAATTCAATGAAGAGGTAATTAGTGTGTTTGTAGAGGGGGAGAGTAAAAATAAATTGCAAAAAATTTCAGGGAAAAAGTGTTTTAATATACTATAAAAAAACTGTATGATGGTGATTTATTCAAATCTAAGTTTCATATTCTTAAAGTTAAAACTGTTTCAAGCATATGCAATAAAGCATATTAGCTCAGTATGCTCTAAATTCTAAAATTTATATGTGAAACAACCCTGTTAAGAAGTAATTTTCCTGTAGTGTGTGGGGAGGTGAAATGATGGGAAAGTTTGTGAAGAATTTATGCAATTTTGTAACTTGAATGGTATAAAAGTGGTAATAACAGATTGTTTTGATAGTATGGTGTCATTTGTTAATTTTTCATTTCTTGGATAATGATACCATAAATCTCTATCAACACGAACAGTATGACCTCCACAACTGAAAGTGGATTGAGTTGAACTATGTACTAAAAGAAAGTTTCAAAAGAAGCTTGGAGCATACAGAGGGAGGTAAAAGAAGAGTTTTTATACATTCGGTGTACTAAACCTAGAGGCATTAAATTTAACTAAATTATTGTTCAGAGAGTTAAAATAGAAAAAGAAAATTGTATTATGGTAAGGCACTAAACAGACCTTGCCTTTGTGGAGAACTTTAAAAAAAGACTTGTTTGTGTAAATACACTACTCGACATTGAAAATGCAACACCAAGAAGGAGTGGTCAGAAAGTGATGAAATTTGGAAAAAAGACAGAGACAGCAAGCAGCAATAAGTGATCTTTATTTTAAAATGGCAAAATACAGAGCGAGAATGGTGTCGGCTCAGTAGGATGTAGGACCACCACGAACAGCGATGCATGAAGAAACACGTCTGAGCATAGAGTCAATAAGAGTGCGAACGCTGTCCTGAGGAATGGCTCTCCATTCACTTTCAACCATTTGCCACAGTTCGTCTTCTGAATGAGGCAGGGCCAGAGCCTGCAAACGGCGTCCAATCACATCCCACACATGTTCGATTTGTGACAGGTCAGGAGAGTATGGTGGCCAAGAAAGCATCTGCATACCTTGCAGAGCATGTTGGCAAATGCGAGCACTGTATGGTCGCATGTTATCCTGCTGAAAAATTGCATTAGGCAGCCCCTGATGGTAAGGGATTGCCACCGGCCGCAGTACATTATCCAAGTATCGTTGGGCCGTCATAGTACTCTGAATATGAACTAAAGGTGACTTGGAATCGTACACTATAGTGCCCCAAGCCATTATGCCACATTGTCGTGCGGTGGGGCATTTCACAGTTACTGCCGGATTAGATGTCTCCACGTCGACACCACACACATATGCGGCGACTGTCACTGGATAAACAGAAGCGTGACTCATCTGAGAACACGACGTTTCACCATTCTGTCATCCACATCGCTCCAGTCTGGCACCATTCTAAACGTTGGCGTCTGTGCTATGGGGTCAATGGCAGTCTTCTTAACGGATGCCGAGAGTGCAGGCCATGTTCAACCAATCAACGGCAAATGGTTCTGGTCGACACGGGAACATCCAGGGTATCTTGAACATGCTGCAGAATTGCATACAAGTGACTTGT